TCATCTAATAAGGTTCAATGTGTAACACAAGTAGATAAATATACTATCAAGTTTACAACTTTAACTTGGACATCTCTTTATGATAATGTTAAACTTATATGTATCCATTTACATTTTGAGAAAAAGTTTTGAGTGGCTTTACAATTAACCATTACAAACATTGTATAACTATGGACATTAGCCTCCATATAAATCAACTTTGTCTTACTAATTCACTTAGTTGTAATACATTGTTATAATATGTTTAGTTAATTAAGAGGGTTCAAAGCTAATACCATATTTATTGTTACTTCTTTACTGCCATCACATTAGTTGTACCTTAATTTAGGTAGTCATTATACTAGTGTGAACTTTTTACACATGAGGCATCCCTTCTTATAGTTATATAATATTTTTATAAAAGACTTTGACACTTCCTCAACCTTTCTTAACACTTCTACCTTGTTGTACATTACACATTATTTTTATTATAGCCATTACTACCATCACTTAATGCCTTATTATCCAACTTTTACATCTTTAAATATTAATGAGGTATTAAAATTCTTATAAGTAATAAGAACTTCAACCATCACCATAGTCATCTCCACATTCTTTACTCTCTAGTGCCTCAACTTGATTGGCACTAATGACTCATGAATAATTTATTATCCTTCAACATATTCTTCATATCCAACAATATAAATGAAAACTTTTCTATATACTTTTGTATTATTATAATATAATTTAACATCTCAACAGTCTCTTATGTTACTCATACACAATTGATAGAGAATTATTTCTCCCTCAATTCTTAAACATACTTGTCATTGACTATTGCAACACATTTTCTATCCTTGTCCTCCACCAAAATTTAGGGTCACTAATAAGACACAATTTCATTAAGATGGCCTTCTCCTCTTTAAAGGTGAAGCTTACCTAAATTACTAATTCAATTCTCACAAGAAGATTTTCAACTCTTAGGAATTATAAGTCCCTTATAAATGTATTTGGTTCTAGGACTGTCTTCTAAATTGCATTACTCATTTATTGTGCACTTGTCATAAATTACTTTAGTAGTGTCATATATATGATGAAATCATCTATAACATCTCATTGTTACTTTGTGTGTACCTCACTAGCACATGTTGAGGTAAAGTGTGTCATGAATCTCATGTTGTCATTTAAGTGTTTTCTAAATATACATCCCTTGCTCATAATTCATATTCCACACTTTCAAGCATAGTGGCCATGAAGTTTGTGTGCTCTTCTAATTGAAGAACTATTTATCAAAAGTTATGCCTTCATTAATCATACTAATTTCATATATTTTTGCATATACTTTTGTTAAAACATGTGAAATGTGCTTAGATACTAATTCTCATAGGGTTGAAGTAGGCATACCTCTGAGGTTTTAACTCCATGCAATTTTGAGTGTCAATCATACATCATGCCAATCTTTCTTATGTTAATGGATGTAGTGGAAACTTTATGCAAAATGACATACCTTCTTCTCACTAAAATATATGATAGGTACAATGGTAAGGACTCTCACTCATTCACACTTGAACTTACATGACTAAAGTGACAATGATCCTCACTTTATAAGAGAGTGTCACTCTTAGAAAATCCTCAAATTATCTTGTATCGAGGTTGACACTTACATCAATTAATGGGATGTCTAAACAACACAATCATTATAAATATTCCTTCAGTTTTAGAAAAGGGGTGGTACTAGGGTTAACTAGGTCAGCCCATCAAACTTAAAATTCAACTAATATGTATTAGCATGTGTCATGTCTATTACAAAGGACATTTTATTTACTAAGTGAGAAAAGATGTAACACCTTGTATAGAGAAACTAAATCATGGGCATTAAACCACCACCAACATAAAGTGTCAGTGTGAGCACAAATATACATGTGAGTTATAACACAATAAACATAAATAAGCATAAAATGCATATATCATCATGACATAACACATGCGAAGCACAACATGCTCATGTGTCATTAATCATCACATAACTTGTGGAGATATTGTGAATTAGATGATAAATAAAAATAAGTGCACAATATGGAAATAGAATAAGTAATCATTACAACAAATGTGCTCGTGAAGCTCACCATGGTATGGAGATTATTACAATAGTAATCACACCAATTACTAATACAACTATTGTCACACCAAAACCATCAAAGATGGTCAAGGAGATTACCTACAAGAGATTATACTCTTATAAAGAGAGTCAACCCTAAATTTGTAAGAGAAGTTATCCCTACAATACATTATCTTAATAGTGTTTAGGAATACACGCCCCTTCAAGTCAAACTATACTTGTGTTAAATAGGAAGGTTACTCAACACTATTGGAATAATGATAGAGGTCCTCACATGAGAGTGAAAGCTAGTGCCTTTAGTTAGATCCATGTGACGTTGACATTTGTGCACACATTTTATGTGTATATCTGGCATGCCTGATGGAAACTTAATGTTATAGTAATGACTCCCCAAGGTGAGCCTAAAATAGGCCAAGTGATGAAACATTCCATGTAGATTTATGGTCCATGTTATCTAGAGCCCAATCTAGCCCTATCCAATTAACACCACTATTTAGCCATACCAATTGTTGGGACACCATTAAGAAGACATCATTTGTGGGCTTTTGGTCAAAGCTTTTTGGGTTGGATCAAATTACTGGGCCCGGACTTCTAAGGTACGAAGGCCCACCTTTCAGGCTTCAAAAATAGACCCCACAGAAATCCCTCTCCCTCTCTCTCTCTCTCTCTCTCTCTCCAACCTTGGGCTGGGTGAGTCCTACCTTGCTGTTCTTTTCAGGTCGATTGAGTCCAGAGTAAGAAATGGGCCGGGCTTCCGGCTAAAGCCCAGACCATCTCCTACATCCCACGCCTCCCTAACCCACTAAAAACTAGTGATTTTTTAATATTAATGAAGAAAAAATATATAATATATTTTACAAACAGTGGTCAATACAATTTATAAATGATCTTACAGAAAAAAAATATAATTTTCCCTGCCGGGCCGCGTGTTCCGGTCACCGCCTCAGCCGGGAAAGAAATCCGGGTCCGCAAGCAAGCAAAGGCGGCCGACGAGTGCAGGGAATCCGCAATAAATAGAACCTGCCGGGGGTAGGAGCTGGGCCCCTGGAAAGGAAAGAGAGATTAACCAACATCTCATCCAATCTGCACCGCCTCCGGAGAAGAGGGAGTGCGAGAGGGTTATCTGTAGCTCCTCCCTCCCTCGTCCTGCAGCTGGCTGGGAGCTCCTCCTCAGCCCCGCTCCCAGCGCCAAATTAGGTATAGTCTTTTCCCCTTCATTTCTCGCTTCTCTCTCTCTCCCCCTCTCTCTCTCTCTCTCTTTCGCTCGCTCTCTATTTCTATATATTGTACGGACGCGCATGAAACACGCATAATACCTCTTGCTGGTCCTGGTTCAGGGTTTCTTCCGCTGTATACATTCGTTTCTGGTGGAGGATACATTGCGGGGTTGGTTCTATTTTCCGCTGTGGATGGGGCGATTCTCGTCCATGCTTTGATTAATGTATTGAGGTGTTTGGTCGGGAAACTCGTTTGATGTCTATTTGTCTTCAACGCCTTTTCCCTGAAAACCCCGGATTTTTCGTAGGGATTTATGAATGGCGAAACTGGTTGGGCTTCCAGTCTTGCGTCGTTCAGAGGAGTCATTTTGTTGGCCCACAACTTGAGTTTGGCTCATCTTCGTGTTCTTGCCAACGAGATCTTCGCCCCTCCCCTCGTTTTGTTCAGATTCTTAAACACATTTGTTTTTGGCGAAGTCAGGCCAGCAATGTCGTGCAACACTTCCATTTCTTCCTCAGCTTTAGGTACTGAAATTTTTTGAATCTCTGGTCCGCGCTTGCCTCTCTAGTTGCCCAGAAGATCTTATTATGTGTGAGATTCCTAGTTCCACCCTCCATTGTGCAGCGGAGGATCACCCCTGTGCATCAATTTCTTAACAGCTGAATTTTTACACTCTCCCTCTTAGTCCGATAGAGACAATCGCATAAATTTGTGTAGAGGAAAATCAGCACATTGTCCCCAAGAAAATTTGTCTCTCTCTTAATCTCTTCCCTTTCTTGTGTGTTGCAACTTATCGATTATTATATAATGATTCTTAGAAAATTTATATTAGGTAGCGCTCATGGCTTGTCATCTGTATATTTATCCCCTTTCTTTACAAGGTCTCTAAAAGTCTGCTTGTCTCGTTTAATCTTTTCTTTTGTGGATTTTATAAATTTTCTATTTTGCTACAGTGACAGTTCTTATGACTTCACATGTTAAATGATTTTAACGTTTCTGTCCGTCTCTCAAAGTTTGTTTGTCAGGTTTAATCTTTTCCTTTGTGGATTTTATAAATCTTCTATTTTGCTACACTAACAGTTTTTATGACTTCCCATGTTAAATGATTTTAACGTTTCTGTCGGTCTCTAAAAGTTTTCTTGTCTCGTTTGATCTTTTCTTTTATGGATTTTATGAATTTTCTATTTTTCGACAGTGACAGCTTTTATGACTGACTTCACGTGTTAGATGATTTAACGTTTCTGTCTGTTTTAATTTATTTCTCTGTCTGTGGCGTCATGGGAACCTCTTTTTCTAAGTTTTTTGGCTTTTACCAATCTCACATCAATAGGATCCCCTCTTTCCCAGGATTATAGTCCCATATTGCGCCATGTGCTAATCCATGCAGCCTGCCCCCTCCCCTAAACGTCAATGAAGATAATGTTCTTAGTTGAATGTCCACTCGTCTGTTTTCATAAATTTTGTGCTTGGAGGGTCAAGTTTTTTGTGATTTTTCAGCTGCCCAATGGAACTACAAGATGAAAATGCTAGTAGCAACCCAGATTTTTAATAAAAAAAATTAACTGCCAAGTTCTTTCTTTCTCATATATGGCTAAATTGTTCTTTTTTTTATATATGTAGGGCATTATAATATATATATATATATATATATTGACTCAGAAGCTCTTGCTTCTCGTTGGAAGTCATGGCTGGTGCACTGTTTCAGTCCACTGTGCTTCCAGAAGCTGTCGCAAATGGGAGGCATCCCCAAATTCGAGGCTCGGGAAGATCCAGGAGGGGCGCCAGAATGTTGGCCACCATGGGAACACGCCCTCCCCAACTGGGGAGCTTCACTGGCCTGCGGAGCTCCAATGCTCTGGACATGCGGTCTGACAGAAGCTTTCACTCCATCGTAGCCACTGCGATCATGGCGCCCCGAGGGAAAGCTAGCCGGGGAGTGGCTGTTGCCATGTTTGAACGCTTCACAGAGAAGGCCATTAAGGTTATCATGCTTGCCCAGGAGGAAGCTAGGAGACTGGGGCACAATTTTGTAGGCACCGAACAGATATTGTTGGGCCTTATTGGTGAAGGAACGGGCATAGCGGCCAAGGTTTTGAAATCGATGGGAATCAATCTGAAGGATGCCCGGGTGGAAGTCGAGAAAATTATCGGAAGGGGCAGCGGATTTGTGGCCGTGGAGATCCCATTCACTCCACGGGCTAAACGCGTGTTGGAGCTGTCTCTAGAGGAAGCCCGCCAACTTGGTAATCTTGTCTATTTTTATGCACAATTTCTCTCTGCATGTTATAATGATGATTTCGTCTGCTATTTAATATTCAGAAAACTGAACCAACAGAATTTTTGAAAATATTTCCTGATTTTTCTGCTCTGTGTTGATGCCATCTATGTGTAACTGTTTTCGTCTGTTATCCTTGGGCCTTCTTGTCCCCATCTCCTTGGAATGCTTCATAGATAAGGATTCCCACAGTTGCTGCTGCATTTGCATGGAAGTATCGGATGAGTATCCTGTGGTTTCTTATGGCTTGATCTGATAAATAACTATTTCTGATTTATTGAAACTGAGCAGTCTACGTGAGCGTGATAGTGAGGAATCCTTGCTCAAACCGGCCTTATTCATGTTGATATTCTTTCAGGTCACAATTACATAGGATCTGAGCACTTGCTGCTTGGACTGCTCCGCGAGGGTGAAGGTGTCGCTGCTCGTGTGCTTGAGAGCCTCGGAGCCGAGCCTGGCAACATTCGTACTCAGGCAAGCCCTGCATTTGGTTTCTGCATGGGACTGGCTGTTCTTGCCTGGTCTATGACAGCTGATTTGTGAAGATAACGTTTTCCACTTTCTGACCAGGTAATTCGCATGGTGGGAGAGAGCGCAGAGGTTGTCGGTGCTGGAGTGGGTGGAGGAAGCACTGGGAGCAAGATGCCTACCCTTGAGGAATATGGAACCAATCTGACAAAGCTGGCTGAGGAGGTGGCCTTCTAATGGTTTTTTTTCTCCTTACCAGGTGATGATATTTTTGGTCAAACGGTGTTGCTGATGATGTCTGCTGCTGCCAGGGTAAGCTCGACCCGGTTGTTGGCAGGCAGGATCAGATAGAACGTGTGACTCAAATCCTGGGCAGGCGGACGAAGAACAACCCTTGCCTCATTGGGGAACCCGGCGTCGGGAAGACGGCCATTGCCGAAGGCCTCGCCCAGCGGATTGCCAATGGTGATGTTCCGGAGACGATTGAAGGAAAGAAGGTGGGTTTCTCCCTCATCTCCCATTTTTCGGCGAACTCCATAACTTGTGATGTCTGTCTGGAGATTTGTTGGCTGCTTGGTGATGAATCTGTTCGACGCAGGTGATCACGCTCGATATGGGTCTTCTGGTTGCTGGCACAAAGTATCGCGGAGAGTTTGAAGAGAGATTGAAGAAATTGATGGAGGAAATCAAGCAGAGTGATGAGATAATTCTCTTCATTGATGAGGTGCACACACTAATCGGAGCAGGGGCCGCTGAGGGCGCCATTGATGCAGCTAACATCCTCAAGCCAGCTCTTGCGAGAGGTGAACTCCAGGTAATGCCAGTTTGCTTGAACCTTCTCCAAGCTTACTGAACTGCTCATATGAGATTTCCTAATCTGCATCCAACACTGCAATGAGATTGTTAGTCTTTATTCTCTTTTTTTTTTTTTATCAACTTGAAATGCCAGTGGCTCCTTCCATTATCTAATCGTCTTGTTGCTTGAGGATCTTGTTTCCATGAATCTCCATGTTATCAGATGATGATTATGTTGATCTTGACTGGGAATTTCTCCATTTTTATCCTCTTCCGACATCAATACATTTAAATCCTGAGCTTCTCTCTGGGGTCTGGTTGTAGTGCATTGGAGCAACAACCCTTGATGAGTATCGGAAGCATATAGAGAAGGATCCTGCTCTGGAGAGGAGGTTTCAGCCGGTGAAGGTGCCTGAGCCGACAGTTGACGAGACGATACAGATTCTGAAGGGACTGCGGGAACGATATGAGATTCACCACAAGCTGCACTACACCGACGACGCCATAGTCGCTGCTGCACAACTCTCGCATCAGTACATCAGGTTAGTATATTTTCCTGAAAACCAACCAGATCCATGCTCAGTTCAGCTCTTCTTCCTTTTATTTTTATTTTTATTTTTCTGGGTCATGATGAAAAGTTTTTAATCTTTTTTAATGTATTTTTTAAAATTAATTAAAATACATTTATGGGTTCCTGAGAATCATTTACAACTTTTTTCACGTCAGCTGGCCGTTTCTAGAAAAAAATATATTTATTAAATATAATTCGGTCTATGCCAAAATCATGGACTGAATGAGACTTTGGGCACGAAAATCATGTACCTCTCCTAATGGTTGTTGTGATCATGTTGGTTGTCAGCGATCGATTTCTCCCGGACAAAGCCATTGACTTGATCGATGAAGCTGGCTCCCGTGTCAGGCTTCGCCATGCCCAGGTGCTCCTTTTTTGTTTTTTTTCTGATTTTTTCACCTTTTTTCACATGTATGTCTTCCTACTGTAAGAACTGAGAAGGTGAGATTCTCTCCCCTGCAGCTCCCGGAGGAAGCCAGGGAGCTCGACAAGGAGCTCCGGCAGATCACGAAGGAGAAGAACGAGGCCATCCGCGGCCAAGACTTTGAGAAGGTGAAGACATTGACCCCCTCCTAGTTGGCCGCACAATTGACTTTTTTTTTCCTCTCAGCCAAAGAGAGTTTGATCTTTTTTCTTTTCTTCTCGCAACCGTTGACTGTGGTAGCATCTCTTCTCCTTCTCGAAGTCTTGGCCGCAGAACTTGAGTTTTTATTTCCCCCTCAGCCGAAGAGTTTACTTCAATTTTTCTTCTTCTGTTAACCGTTGACTGTGCTGAGAATCTCTTGACTTTCTACAAGTCTTGGCCTCAGAATTGACTCCCTCCCCCAAGCCGAAGAAGAGTTTGATTCAAATTTTTTTCTTATTCTTTCAACCGTTGACTGTCCTGGGCATCTCTTCTTCACCTTCTCAAAGTCTTGCCTCCCCCCTGCCCCCCCCCCCCAAAGAATTGAACTTTTCCCCCCCGGAACTTTTCCCACCTTCTCGTCACGACCGTTGAGTGTGCTGAGCATCATCCCCTCGCGTTGACCCTGGGCAGGCGGGAGAGCTGCGAGACAGAGAGATGGAGCTCAAGGCCCAGATCTCGGCCCTGATCGACAAGGGCAAGGAGATGTCCAAGGCGGAGACCGAGGCCGGAGAGTCAGCGGGACCTGTCGTCACGGAGGCAGACATCCAGCACATCGTCTCCTCCTGGACGGGCATCCCCGTGGAGAAGGTCTCCAGCGACGAATCCGACCGCCTGCTGAAGATGGAAGAGACGCTCCACACGCGGATCATCGGGCAGGACGAGGCGGTGAAGGCCATCAGCCGCGCCATCCGGCGAGCTCGCGTGGGGCTCAAGAACCCTAATCGCCCCATCGCCAGCTTCATCTTCTCCGGCCCCACGGGAGTGGGGAAATCAGAGCTGGCCAAGTCGCTTGCTGCGTACTACTTCGGCTCGGAGGAGGCGATGATCCGGCTGGACATGAGCGAGTTCATGGAGCGCCACACCGTCTCGAAGCTCATCGGCTCGCCGCCGGGATACGTCGGCTACTCCGAGGGCGGTCAGTTGACGGAGGCCGTTCGCCGGCGGCCGTACACCGTTGTCCTCTTCGACGAGATCGAGAAGGCTCATCCGGACGTCTTCAACATGATGCTGCAGATCCTGGAAGATGGCCGGCTGACGGATAGCAAGGGCCGGACTGTGGATTTCAAGAACACGCTCCTGATCATGACCTCCAATGTCGGCAGCAGCGTGATCGAGAAGGGCGGCCGCAGGATCGGATTCGACCTGGACTACGACGAGAAGGACAGCAGCTACAACCGGATCAAGAGCCTGGTCACCGAGGAGCTGAAGCAGTACTTCCGCCCCGAGTTCCTGAACAGGCTCGACGAGATGATCGTCTTCCGGCAACTGACGAAGCTGGAGGTGAAGGAGATCGCCGACATCATGCTCAAGGAGGTCTTCGATCGGCTCAGGGCGAAGGAGATCGAGTTGCAGGTCACGGAGCGCTTCCGCGAGCGGGTGGTCGACGAGGGATACAACCCTAGCTACGGCGCAAGGCCGCTCCGGCGGGCGATAATGCGGCTCCTGGAAGACAGCCTCGCAGAGAAGATGCTCGCAGGAGAGATCAAGGAGGGCGACTCTGCCATCATCGACGTCGACGCCGATGGCAATGTCTCCGTCCTCAGCGGCGCCGCCGCGGCCGGTGGCGGTGGCGTCCTCCCCGACGAGGCGGCGATCCCCGTCTGATCGATTTTTGCCCCCACGGCGACGTTCATTAGTCGGCAGCTTCTTTTTCTTTTTTTTCTCCATTTTGATTGGTGAAGATGGGATTTCTTTTTTTAATCTCGATTTAATTCGCCAAAGTCATATCCAGGGTCAAAAAAGGGAAAATAAATATAATTAAATATAAAGTCGTGTACTTTTTATTATCAAAAATTAATTAATCGGGGAGATTCCTTTATGCACGTGGTTGACGGTTACCGGCAGCCGCGTGGACAACTGTGAGCCGTTCGATGAGACCAAGATGATATCCTGGCCGTTCAAGTGGGGAGAAACCGCAACGGTCGTGTTGGCGTCTCTCTCTCTCACTCTCTCTCTGCGCACCAGGGAGAGGTGAAAACGGGAGAAAACAGGAGAAAACAGGATGGGAAATTCGGAGATCGACCCCCGTGCCCCCCCTTCCTTTCTTCTTCTTCTCAGTGCCAGATCTGGCCCCCGACAAACCCTAGATCCACATTGAGAAGTAGAGCAGATCGAGAAGACCTGCACAAATCCCACCGCTGCGAATTCTTGGCGAGGGCAGCTTGTCCGTGGTCGAGAGGTCTGACCGGGTAAATTTTCCCGGATTTCGCCATGGGCTCCGCTCAGTCCTCCCGAGAAATGGAGGACGACGACGAGGAAGAAGAAGAAGAAGATGAGGAGGAAGATGAGGACGAGCGAAAGATTCCGAAGCCCATCAACAAGAAGGTCCTCGAGCAGGAACCAGAGATCCTCCCGTGCCGCGCATCGGCGTCCCCTCTCTCCCCGCAGCTCTCCCTTGTAGGGACTCCGAGGGTCCCCAGCGGGCCTTCTATCAAGGTTTGGGATCCCTGCAATGTGCTGGCGCCGGCGCCGGTCTTCTCGAGGGGTTTCGGGCCGTCGGATTCGTTTGGGGAAAGTGGAGATCGGGTCATCGAGGTTTTCCTTATCAGCCACGGAGAGTGCAGCCTCACCCATCGCCCAGATCTCATCGGCGGTCGGTGGCCTGCGGCAGGGTTGACCGGGAATGGAGAGCGTCAAGCGCGGGCTCTGGCTGTGTTCCTCAATTCTCAGGGAGTCCGCTTCAATGCCGTCTACAGTTCGCCATTGGATCGAGCGATGGCGACGGCAGCTGCCATTTGCCGGGTAACGACGCAGAAAACCCCTTTATTTCAGAAGGATTCATCCTGCATGGCCAAAATTGGCTAATTTGGTAACTCAAATCTCTCAGTTCAGCTGTTCTGCGAATTTCACCATAATTACTGCAAAAAAAATTGTGGAACTCAAAGAAATTGGGGGATAAAAATAACATTATATCTATAATGTTTTTTTCATCTCATTGATTTGTGGATTTTTTATAGACTAGCGAGTAGCTCCAAGAGCCATTGATGATGTGTTTTGGACTGGCATCTTTAATTTTTCTTGGCACACTCTAATCAACGTGCTTTTTTATCTTTATCTGGAATTTTGAAGAGCACAGATGCATTCAATCAGATCACTTTCCCTCTTCTGTCTGGCTTTTGGTTCATACGATGCTAAACTCAGTTTGCGCGCCCCCCCTTCTTTCATTCATATGCCTTCCAGATTTTTTTCTGGGGGACTCATTGGCTGACATGAATGAGGTCCAGGGCACTCAATTGGATCATAAATCTGCTTTTTGAAAGTGTTATTTAATATGGATATATATATCATTGCTCACTGAAATATGATGAGAATGAGTGGAAAAGGGTCGGCAAGGGGATGTGTAGAAATTAATGCATAAGGTTGAGTGAGAAAGGGGGAATGCTAGGACGAACAGCATCCCAAGAAAGGCAGTTGAATTAGGGCGGCGAGTTGTCTCTCTCAAAGGGAAGACTGCTACATTATCTCACACTTTTTCAGCATATGCTAATAATGGCTGCATATTGTTCCTAGTCAGAGTAGAAAATTGGAAGCTCTAACCACGAGAGAAGAGATAAGAAATTGGCAACAAAAAAAAAAACTCTGTGAAGTATCCTTTGTTGTATGAACCATCCAAATGAGGTAAACTTTTCTGCGATTGGCATGCAGGAGCTGGGTTTCTCGAAGGAGGAGATTCAGTCCTCGGATTCTCTCACCGAAATGAGCCAGGGCCAGTGGGAGGGATGCCATCGGTCGGAGGTCTACACCCCCCACATGGTGAGCCTCATTGAGCAGACGCAACCAGACTTCTGTGCCCCCTCTGGGGAGTCGCTGAGACAGGTGGAGTTCCGGATGGTCGAGTTCCTCAATCGGACGGTCCTCGGGATGCCAGAGAAGTTTTTGGCGGGTGATCACTTGCTCCATCAGAACGATGGCAAGGACTTCTCCCGCCAGGGCTCCACCAGCTCCGCCCAAGACCGCAACGGGCAATTTCTCTCTCAATGGGACCTCCTCCACAGGCATGGGAGGCAGGGTGTCACTAGAAAGAGGTCTGGAAAGAGCCGGCTCCAGTTTGTGGCCACTGGGGACAACGAGGCTGAGGAGGAGCTCTCCCCAAGGGATGCAAGCAACGAAGCGAGCGGCACCCGAGGCACAGTCCCGGCCATTGCCATCTTCTCTCACGCCATGCCCATCAAGTGCCTCTTGGCAGGCCTTCTTGGCTGCAGCCCGGCGGCTTCCAGTAGAATCTGTATAGACGACTCCTCTATATCTGTCCTGTGGCACTCGCCGAGGACTGGCTGGCAGATCAAGAGGCTCAATGACACCGCCCATCTGAGGCTCCTCTGACCAGAAGGAGGTGGGCCATATTTTGCTGAAATTGGGTCTTATTGTATTATACCGTGTTATTGTTACCATTTCCTCTATTGAATGGGTGATGGGGAAGCCCCTGTTGCAGGAGCATTGTGTGTAATTGCCTGCCAGGTAAGCAACCCCCATTTACCAATTTTATCAAAAATTAGGTTGAGGGCATCGATTTGATTGTGTTAATGTGCATTTTTTTCTTGTGATTTTTGTTTTTTTTTTCATTGCGTTATATCAAAAATGATGCTTCCGTAGAATCATTATATCCATGGATTCCATTGGGGCATGTGAGCATGCTGCATTGCTGATATTTTTTTCCAACTTGGGTTGAATGGTAGCTGTAAAACTGTTAAGTATGTAATATTGGCCTATATTTTTTAGGAAAATAGCGGTCTTTCGTTGTTTTGACATTTTCTCTCTCTAAAATCCCTTTCTAATAAGACATTTTCGTTGGCATTTTGTAGGAAAATAGCACCCCTTAATGCTGGATACTTCCTCACCCTTTCAGCAGTCAACGTTTCCCACTTAAGTGGAGAGTGGCTGTAAAGATACTAAATATGTGATATTAAATTGCTGGATTTTTTATAAGAAAATAGCACTCCATCGATGTTCAGGTTTTTCTCACACTAGGTTGCAGTGGTGAAGATTAATATTTTCCCGAATAAGTAAATATTATTTGATAATTTCTAAGTTAAAAAAAAAAAGAAATGTCAACCAGTATTAGGTCTGTAGATATTCTTTCGTAGCCACTAAGCCACCCAAGCAGTAAGACTTCCCTCAGGGGGACGTTCATCCACTGAACAAGAAGAACAGACGTGATTTCAGCCTGGAAAGAGGGAACGCCCTCGTCTTCTTCTTCTTCTTCTCGCCGCTGTCTGAGAGCTCCCTCAGCTTCGCATGCAGCGCTTCGTTCTCGCAATTTAACCTATCGTGTTCACGCCGGAGGGCTCTACTCTCCTCTGTCATCCTCTCCACCTGAACCTGCAGGACCCTGTTGGTCTCTCTCTTCTCGTCGTTCCTCCTCGCCAGCTCCCCCAGAAGGCGCTCTACAAGCCTCGACATCTCCACGGAGGACGAGATCCGCCGCTCCAACGCACCGGAAACCAACTCGAAGGCGGGTTCCCCGCTCCGCTTCGTCCTCTCCTCCGTCTCTTCTGCTTCCAGGCTGCTGCGATGGGAGAGGGAGATGGAGAGTTTGGATTCGATTCCGGATTTCTGATCCGAGTCGGACGATGCTGGAGAGGCGAGGCGGCTGCAGAACCCGGCGAGAGAACGGTATGAGGTGTAGACGGCATCCACTCTCTTCAGGAGCTCCGTCTTCTCCTTGAGGAACTGGTCTCCGTCTTCTTGCTGGATCAGCGTTACGATTGCTCTCACATTCTCATCCAACTCTGCGGAAATATCATAAAAATGATAATCAGAAAACTCTCTCTCTCTCTCTCTCTCTCATCGGACCCATGCTCAGTGCAACTAAAATTTTTGTGGGTCTCCCTCTCTTTCTCGATCGAACCCATGCACAGTGCAACTAAAACTTTTGTGGGTCTCTCTCTCCCGATCGATCCCATGCTCAGTGAAACTAAAACGTCTCTCTCTCTCTCTCTCTCTCTCTCTCTCTCGCCCCCTCTTTCCCATCATAGTAGGAAAGCAGGAAAGAAGGGAGGAGGGGGAGCTGTAATCGACTCACCTGCCAGAGTGAAGGGAATCCACGACAGGTCCTCTGGGCTGCTCCAGCGCGAAGAGTACAGAGAGTTCCGATGCTCCATGGATGGCTCCTGTGAGAGGACCAGCAGCAGCAGGTAAGAGGAAACCCCAGACCTTCGTCACTCCGGCGTTCGCAGGTTGAAGAGGGAGGAGGAAACCGCTTCCCAAGAATGAGGAACCGAAATCTCGGGCGTCTCCGCCATTAAAGGCTGAGTAAAACGGAAATCTGCGTTCCGCTGCTTCATCTCGCACTTGGAAATGGTGCGGATTCTCGAAATCTGAAAGCTTTCGCTGAGATTTGGAACCGTTCGCTCGAAAACAGGCCGAGGAAGATGATAGCAACGGATTCCTCGCCGATGATTTCTCCCTCCTCCCTCCCTTCCCTCTTCTAATGGAGCGCAGACGCGAGGTATCATCTCTCTCCTACACCGCAGCCGTTGTCCAGTCGAAAGCGGATTTTCGATATTATCCTATGAATTTATTCTACATTACTGATCATACCCATCCATCTCGCGTTCAGATCTGTAATTCTACCTTTACTTGTAAACATAAAAAAATAAAATTAGATAAATAAATCATCTGAAAAACGATTATAGGAAAAATGATAACTGTTTATAACTCATTAATGAAAATGATTTTTTTCCTGTAATATATTGCCACATATATGAGCATGCGACCACTCGTTGGAAACATAATTGGAAGAGGAGCAAGATTGAAGAAAAACATTCGTCAAAATTCGATTTTTTCTATTTTTTATGATGTTTACAATATGAAAAAAAACGTATTTCATGTTTAAATTTCTGGCCCCAGCGCTGCCCAATAAGGACAGAAAACTAGCCGTTGTAGTGACGTTACGACCCGTTAATATGAGCAAAAAACGGGCCTTCCGCCAAGATTAGGGCTTCTCACGCCCGCCCCCACCTTCTTACTCCTTGGAGAGAGATAAAGATCTTCATCCTTGAGCGCCCAAGGAGCAAGAAGATCACTCCTTCTCAAGCCCTCTCCTCAACGACTCCAACCTGCATTGGAAGCTTCCTCCATTCAAGAGTAAGGTTTCTCACGTTAAGGAAGCGACAGGCCGATTTGGTGAGGGCAATCGCTCTTCGTTCCATGCATTGTTCCAGTGCGTTCTTACCTCAGTCTTTGCTAGGAATCATCTTCAAATCTTGTGTTGAATCAGGATTATTTGTGTCCAACGGCTGAGAGGCAAGAACACGTAAAGAGCCCCTCAGAGTTTACTTTGTGCATAGAAAGTAACATCTCTAGAGGAGCAGATTTTATGGGTAGCTTACGTTGACCTTCGCTATTTACTGGATCTAATTATACATTTTGGAAAGTTCGTATGAGAATATTCATTCGCGCCACAAATTTTAGTTCACGGAAAGTGATCACAAATGGCCCATAACTCAGAGAAGATTCAAGGGCCTTCAGAGGATCAGAGAAACAGACTATTGTCTCTGAATTCCAAGGCCATCCATTTTTTTATATTGTGCTCTAGATATGAATCAGTTCATTCGCATTTCAAACTGTGGTAAAGCGAAAGAAATCTGGGATAAGCTTGAAATTATCTATGAAGGAACTCCACAAGTGAAGAAGGCCAGAATAGGTCACTTGCTTCGTAAGTATTGAATTATTTTCAATGCAGGACAATGAATCAGTCTCAGTTGTGCTCCTTAGGTTATGTTGCATTATAAATGAATTGAAATGTTTGGGTAAAGAGTAGAAAAATTTGGATCTAAATTGGAATTTTTTGTCAAATCTCCCATCTTCTTGGAACTCCAAGGTCACTGCGATTGAGGCAGCAAAAGATTTGGTCAAACTATCATTCGATGAGCTCATTGGAAACTTACTTACATATAAAATTAGATTGCGTGAGGATTCGGAATCTTCAGAAAAGCCTCCTACCAAGTCTCTTGTTGACAAGAAAGTGCATGAAATAACGAAAGAAAATGAAGTAGCTCGTTAGGAATGCAAGAAGAAAGCTACATGGATCAGCGAAGATTGTTCCTCTTCCGAATCAGGAGGAGGGATTGCAGATATATGCTTAACAGCCCTGGAAACTGAGGTACAAGCCAATGAATCTGAGGCTAAAACCTTTGTTTATGAGATACATTAATTGATTTCTGCACTAGTTTAAGCCTACAAGAAAACTAAACAGGAAATTAAAATTCTGACCAGAGAAAATAAAAGTCTAAAAGTAGTTTATTTGGTATACTTCTTACAATAATATGAGATCATTCGTTCTATAAATCGGTTGTTTGATTCTTCACATCAAGCCGTCCATTTATATCAGATACCGGGGTTCACAGTGAAAATATTTCAGCTGATATCTGACAATGTCAGTGCTTATTTTATGCAAATTTCTATTATATTGCCAAACAACGAGAGAAAAGTTTCCTATGTGCATACAATCACAGATCATTTTGGAAAATTCCTCGGAGACATTCAATTAGAATCATATCAAAATATTAGAAAAACCTTAGTGTATATCAGATCGATGTATATCAAACTAAACCTTAAGATTGATGGTCGATTCCCAACCATCAATCTATGCATATCAGACGAAAGCCAAATAGTATACATCAGATCCAAAGCCAATGTATATCAGACCATGTCACAAATTTGGAAACATATTGTCTAACACACGTAGTTTGCTAAGTGTATCTTTCCCCAAAGTGCCTAAAGTGCATGGTAAATCGAAAATAATCAAGATTCATTTAGATATCTCATCAGATAATGGCGAAAATCGTCATGGACATTCCTCTATTAAAATCGCTATGTTCTAGACATTGGGATCATAATTCCGTTGACCCAAATATCTCAACATCCTCTTAAAAACAAGATGCATAAACCTCATTTCAGCTACCTATAAAGTATATCCTACTCTGTTGACAGAATTTTATCAGAATCTCTCTGCATTAAAAGAAATCTCATAGAAATCACTGACAATTTCTCATCAAATACACTACCAATTCCCCATATTGGAGTTAAATTTGTTCTCATTTATATCACAGTGAACACTTACAAGTGATCACAGGGATTTCCAACTTAACCTCAAAAATAGTCTGCAGTCTGCTTATGATGAATGGAAGTAAACTCCGTGCGCCATATTCATCATCAGCTACTCATGAGGAAAGGAAGCGAAGTCTTGTATCTTGGAGCCTGTGTGACAACACAGGGAGATCAGGCTACTTTCTTGCTTTTTTTTAGTTGTGAAAATGGGGAAGAAAGAAATGAACACTGCATGGAAAGTAGATTATTATGGACTGGGGGGGAGTTGATTGAGCTGGAGCCTACGTTGTCTTACTCTGCTGCTCTATCTCTTTTTTCCCCTTGAATATGCTAGAATCATAAGAAAATTAATGACAAGTCAACCACGCATTTATGGAGATTCATGACAAATCAGTCATGCCTTTAGTGGGGAGAAAATTCCTTACCTGATGAGATTGCTCGCAAAACAGAGCTGAGCTATACCTGAATCATAGCAAAAGTTTATCAAAGCTTTTACAGTTTCTGAACCATTTGAACTAAACTCTTCAATTCTAGAGCTGTTGCAAAGGAAATATCTAGTGGTGTGAATTTCTTGAGTAATTTCTGAATTACTGATTCCTCTCCATCTGAATTGATTTTCAAAGCTAATCATGCTGAAATCTAGTAAAAATTTCTGAAATCGGTTATTTGAAATTTTGAAAATTTATTCTGAAAATGGTGAAAAAGAACTCTGAGATTTGAGAAAATCTAGTAAATGAATTTTTTTTCTGAAATCAGCTGTTTGAAAAATTGAAAATATATTCTGAAAATGGTGAATATGAACTCTGAGATTTGTGGAAATCTAGTAAAATTTTATGAATCAGTTATTTGAAAAATTGAAAAATTCTTCTGAAAATGGTGAAAAAGAACTTTAGGATATGTAGAAACCAGTTTTTATGTTTAAAAAAAGACAGAAACATCAGTTTTTAGAAGAAAAGTTTGAATTTCTCTAGACACATAGTTTACAGAGTTCATATTTTTGAAATATATTAAGCCTCTAAACTGATTTAATTATCCTGAATCCGATCCATTTAGAAACTATTTCACACTCATATTTCTCTAGGATGTGTTGATAAAGCATGATTAACGTGAGTGAATAAGGTATCAACCAATACATTCGATTTAAATATAATGAGCTAACGCTAGAAATAAATAAATACAATCTTATTTTCATATAGCACCTTGTAATGTGGAAATAATTTTTGATATGCCTTGATTTAATAATATAAATTGACTAAATTTGGCACGCAACCTTTAATGGGGTGGCCTAGGCGAATCCCGGGAGAGGGGGCCCGCGTTCCTGACCTATTCAAAATGACACGTGTCTGAGAGAGAGCATGCGATGCATGGACCGGGTGGAAAGGGATATAGATGGTAGGGGTAAGTGGAGGAAGTAGATCTTCGTGAGGCACCGATAAGGTGCCCAGGTCGGAAGATACTCTGTAGATCTGAAGCGCGCGCCCGTGTACAGTCTGACGCGTACGGCGTACCTGTGAAGAAGCTCCGATCCAAAAAAGGGCAGCCACCAATTTGTCTGAAGAAAACAGAGCAGACTCAGGCACGAGGGCGCAGCAGCTACCCCCACCACGGGGAAGCAGCAGTGCGAGGTAGATTCCGCCCTCGATAAGGAGACAGCGAGGAGATTTCCAGCCCACGGGAGGTGAAGGGTAGAGGAGATGCAGTAGAGACTTCGGGGGGTACGCCAGAGATAGATAGATAGAGACAGACAGACAGACAGATCAGCCCGCGGGAGGTGAAAGGTAGAGGAGAAGAAGACTCTACTTCGTAGATCGAGCAGGCGTCGGTGGGAGCTTGAGGAGATGCAGTAGTTTTTGTGGGTACTGGGGAGAGAGAGAGAGAGAGAGAAGAGCAGGTATTCGGCAGTAGGTCGAGGAGATGAAGTTCCTATTCCAGTGCCCGTGCTGCTCGTGCTTCTGCTTCTTGAAGAGAAAGCAGAAGAAGCCAACGGAGGAGGGCAAGGAGGCCCACGGCGATGGGGTCCCGTCCCTCTGTGAGCCATTCCCTCCTCTTCCTTCTTGAAGTTCCTCTCCATTCCTTCCTTATTAGGGTTTCGCTTCTTCCTCTTCTCTCTCTCCCTCGCTCCTTCTTCATGAGTTTCAGAACTGTTCTGTAATATCACTTCGGACTTACCAGTCATGAAAATATATCTCTATCAGACTATCCCTGCTTTCTTCTCCCTTGCGCTCTCTCTCTCTCCCTCCTTCCCTAGCTCGAGGCAGATAAAGAGCAAAGGAGATAAGAGAGAGAGAGAGAGAGAGAGAGAGAGAGAGAGAGAGAGAGAGAGAGAGAGAGCTGTAGAATTAGGGTATATAAAGCTCCCATTTACGTCCAGCTGCGGGGGAATGGTATCATCTTCATAGAAGATAGCGTTTACAGATGAGCAACACAGGGCGTTCCATGGGCCGATATGGGGCTGAATTTGGCAACCTGTTGAATCAAAATTCGAACAAAAGGCTTGCAAAGCAGATGATCCCTTCCAGGTTGAAATATTAAGCGTTTGGTGTAAGATGTTCCTTCCTCCTCTTTCTCTCTCTCTCTCTCTCTCTCTCTCTCTTTCTCTCTCTCGCGCGCGCGCGCGCGCTCTCTCATTATCTCTCTCACTCACACATTTTCTATCTGTCTACTACCCACTTCTCTGTCTCTCTCTTGCTCTCGCTCTCTCATTATCTCTCTCACTCGCACATTTTCTATCTGTCTACTACCCACTTCTCTGTCTCTCTCTCGCTCTCGCTCTCTCATTATCTCTCTCACTCGCACATTTTCTATCTGTCTACTACCCACTTCTCTGTCTCTCTCTCGCTCTCGCTCTCTCATTATCTCTCACACTCACACATTTTCTCTGTCTACTACCCACTTCTCTCTCTCTCTATCTCTCTCACTCTCGCTCTCACTCTCACTCTCTGATTATCTCTCTCACACATTTTCTATCTATCTACCTAACCACTTCTCTCTCTATCTCTCTCTCGTTCCCTCTCTTTCGTCCACGTTCTATCCGTCTACCTACCCACCTCTCTCTCTCTCTCTCTCTATCTCAATCAATCTAATCTCACACACTGTCGATCTACCACCTCTCAACTCTCCCTTACTTATTCTCTTTAGTTTCCTCTCTCTGCTATGGCTTTTGCAGACTTAGGTAAGATCATAAGACGTGTTATATTATCGTAAAATATATTAAAATTTTGAAAATAGATTAAGAATAAAGCATTTCCGAAACATTGAAAATGCACCAGAAATCGTCTCTTGGTTTTTTTAATTAGAATTTCGATCAATTTTTGGCCGGATTAAAGAAATGATCACTAGCCATCTATTCTTCTTCTAATAATTATTTCAATGGCTAATTAATTTCAGTAAATCTATATATATAATTTTAGAAAGTTTGAAAATAAATCTGTTGCTGGCCCGGTCAAGGATTTGCGAAGCCCGTCTGTAGGAGAGAGAGAGTAAGAGAGCGAGCGAGAGTCAGAGAGGAGAGAGACGAAAGAACGAGAGGAAGAGAAAAGAGAAGAGAGAGAGATCGAGCGAGAGATCGAGCGAGAGGCAGAGAGCAGAGAGACGAGAGAACGAGAGGAAGAGAAAAGATGAGAGAGAGAGAGATCGAGCGAGAGGCAGAGAGCAGAGAAACGAGAGAACGAGAGGAAGAGAAAAGAGGAGAGAGAGACAAGAGAGCGAAAGGCAGAGAGGAGAGAGACGAGAGAACGAGAGGAAGAGAAAAGAGGAGAGAGAGACAAGAGAGCGAGAGGCAGAGAGGAGAGAGACGAGAGAACGAGAGGAACAGAGAAGAGAGGAGAGAGAGGCGAGAGAACGAGAGGAAGAGAGAAGAGAGGAGAGAGAGACGAGAGAGAGAGAGGCAGAGAGGAGAGAGACGAGAGAACGAGAGGAAGAGAAAATAGGAGAGAGAGAGAGAAAGAGAAGAAACAGGAGAGACAGAGAGGAAGAGAGAGGAAGAGAGAGGGGAGAGAGAGGGAGGGGAGAGAGAGAGGCAACTTCTCTCATAAAAAGTCTACAGCTGCCGCGTAACTTCTCTCCACAAAGTCGTTAGCCGGCGCCGGTCAACGAGCCCCTTCTTCCAACCGGCAACGCAAGACCAAGACCAACTCTCGATCGAGATCTCTTCACGAGCCTGCCCCAGGTGGGCCTGACGGGTCAAGATTCTCTTTGGACTTCCTGGTTCGTTGACCCAAATTGATTAAGACGATAAATGCGCAAAGCCCAAACCAGCAGCCCACAGTCTTCCCCACGAGAGGACGGCCACAGAATTTCTCCAATTGAAACTGGAAACGTGGCGAATCGAATCATGCTCCATTGGACGGTGGAGATTTTTCTTCTAGCTGGACCCCCCCAGGGCTCCATCTAAAGGGCTTTTTATTAATAATGACGGATCTTTTAAAAGTAAATCATCACAAATGAATACATAAAAAGGTTTAAAATTATAAACTCCAACTTTTGAGGGACTAGAATGTCATCAGCGAATCTAAATGGTTTCTTGGGGAATACTACCTAAAATTGACATTGTTGCCCATAACCTTTTGACAGAATTACGGTCGTGCCATTCATGAGGTCCGTTGATATATGAGCGGAGACCGCCGTCATCAACCCCGCCGAACGGACCAAGAAAACGGGAAGAAATCGTCTTCTTCTCGCCATTCTCTCATTCCCTCCGACCCTCTCTGTGAAACCCTAGCAGCGACCGAGAGGGCAGCCAAGATGGTTCTCTCTGAGAGATCCTCCCGGCAATCCCTCATCCCTAGCTTCCTCTATTCCCCGTCTTCCGCGGTTGGAGGCGCCAGATCCGTGGGTCTGGAGAGGCTCATTCTTGCCAGGAGCGGTGTTGGCGCCTCGAGCTTGCGACCCTCCTCCCCGGCACCTGTTGCCCCCGACAGCGGATCCCCAACGACGTTCCTCATCCCGGCTCCCAGGGAGAAGATCGAGCTGTACTCGCCCCAGTTCTACGCGGCATGCACCGCCGGCGGAATCGCCAGCTGCGGCCTCACGCATATGGCCGTCACGCCCCTGGATCTCGTGAAATGTAACATGCAGGTGGGTTGGTTCGTTTCCAATTCTTGAGGGTCTGTTCTCCCCCCAAGTCCATCCATTGCTCCTTTTTTTTATTTCCTGCGATTAATATCGCTCATCGTCTGCACGATCTTTCTCTTCATCGTTTACAGTTCCTCGTTTGCAGATTTTTTTTGTGTTTTCTTGCGTGTTTGGATCCCTAACCTTCTTTTTTGCCTATTTGAGTTATACTGTACTTTTTCATTAACCTTCGTTAGAATCATAATGCATATTTATATGTTAGATAATAGGCATGCGTAATTGAATCGTTCATATGGCCAAGGATGATTCTCAGGCGCTGGCACTAATCATGGGAAATTTGCCATTTCAGATTGACCCTACAAAGTACAAGAGCATTACATCTGGATTCGGCGTGCTGCTTAAGGAACAGGGTGTCAGAGGCTTTTTCAGGGGTTGGGTCCCAACTCTCCTAGGCTACAGTGCCCAGGGTGCTTGCAAGTTCGGATTTTATGAGTTCTTCAAGAAGTATTACTCCGATCTTGCTGGACCCGAGAACGCGGCGAAGTACAAGACGCTGGTCTACCTTGCGGGGTCTGCCTCTGCTGAAGTTATTGCGGATGTTGCTCTCTGTCCAATGGAGGCTGTAAAGGTGCGAGTCCAAACACAGCCAGGCTTTGCCAGAGGTTTATCAGATGGACTCCCAAAGTTTATCAGATCCGATGGCGTACTAGGGTATGTTTTTCTATATTTCTTTGGTATTTTATATTTTCTTTGTGTTTTGGTTACATCTGTTTACTTATTTTCCACGACGTTTCAGGTTGTACAAAGGAATTGTTCCACTTTGGGGTCGTCAGATTCCTTGTAAGGCCTTAATTTCTCCTTGCCAGTCCATCGTTTCATTTACGGTTCTTTTTCTAGCTTAAATTTGGAATATTTGTGGATTTTATTGTCATATTGTCAAATCATTTGTCAAGCTGCAAGAGTATGTAGTGTTGCCTCCAGTTCTTGCACTAGTGTCAGTTTTTCTGCATGGATATTGACAACTGTACATATATTACGTTTATTTCCCATTTCTTGCTAAATGTTTCTTTTTATTGCTTATTTCCCGGCTGCAATTTTCTTGCCATTATTTCAGCGTTGACATTTTAAGTTGTTTCAGTTCCTATTCGTAGTCAAATTGCCTTTACTTTAAGTGCCTCCTTGTATGCACGTAATTTACATTCTATCTGAGGTACTAATTGTAAAACGAAAATGGTATATACTGTTGATCTATATGTTTTAGCTGTGAGCTGGTATAGAGGAGTTGTGTTAGTGTTTGGATAAAATAGGATCGCTTATCTGGGCAAAGGGCGTCATGCGGTTTAGGTTGAGTCTGACTGAACCCATAGCAGGGTTGAACTTTCTGGCATTAGGCCGTCGAGCTGAATTGGGCCAGGTCGTTGCTGCTCAATCCCAATATTTTATTTTCCCAGTCACCATCCTGATAGGTTGCCGTATGTTTTTTCCTAGCTGAAAATTGTTTGATTTTATGTAATTAGATGGTTTGGTACGGTTAATTATGTGGGGGGATCAACCTCATCGTCCTTAAACAAGGGAAATAAGGAAAATTCGCTTGAATTTTTTTTTCTATTATTAGAAAATGTGACTGATCCCTTATTGAATCGCAAATGAGTTGATTTATTCATCGCGTAGAACATAAAGTTTTTCTTTAATCTTATATTTCTCAGATTATCAGTTCTGGGGCGAGCCCAGAAGTCTTTTTACCAGCTGATTTCATTACCGTTGTGAGCTGACATTTGTACATTATAATATCCGTCTCCCAAAGAGATTTGTATCTGTTTTTTTTCTCGTGGCACTCAACATTATTTGAATCTTGGATATTATAAGAACGTTTCAGTGAAGCTCGAATAATCTCTGATGCGTTATTCTAATAATTGTTCCTGGAGATCCCTTCTTGCTGGTTTAAAGGCCTGTTCATGGCATTGATACACGTTGACATCATTTCATGCTTCAGTCAACGCTATGCATGGTTCTTAGCTGGCTTTTGATTTATTTTTTTCCCGTAGTATTTTTTTCATCTGAGGAAAGCTATTTTTTTTTTCAGACACAATGATGAAATTCGCCTCTTTTGAAACTGTCGTGGAGATGATCTACAAATATGCAATCCCCACACCCAAGGACCAGTGCAGCAAGAATCTTCAGCTCGGTGTGAGCTTCGGAGGTGGTTATATCGCCGGAGTTCTCTGCGCCATTGTTTCCCACCCGGCTGACAACCTCGTGTCGTTCCTGAACAATGCCAAAGGGGCCACTGTTGGTGACGTAAGTACTCCTCCTACTCCTCACTCGATGCCGCCTGCCTGCGTCTTTCTCCCTTATTTATCCATAGTTGATCTTCGGAAAGTTTCAAATTAGTCCTCGGAAATGTTTGTGTATCCCCTAGGAGACCCCCTCCCCCTTTGACTCTCCCCTATTTATCCTCTGATATCATAATTTTTATGCTAGGATATTTTGAAATCAGTCCTTCGGTTATTTTTCAAAATAATATTCTGATAAGTTTATCTATCCAAAAATATTATCTTAAACCGATCTTCAGGAACAACCCCTTCGACTCTCCCCTGCTTGATCTTTTGATGCTTTCAATTAATTTCCGTGCAGGCCGTGAAGAAGCTGGGGGTGTGGGGTATGTTCACCCGCGGGCTCCCTCTCCGTATCGTCATGATCGGGACGCTGACTGGCGCGCAGTGGGGCCTCTACGACGCCTTCAAAGTCTTTGTCGGCCTGTGAGTATTGATGATTTCTTCTGATTATTTCCCTTCTTCAACGTTGGAAAATCCTACCCAAGAGGGCTAGAGAGAGACACACACACACATACAGATACAGAAAGAAAGAGGAGACAGGGGAGAGAGAAGCCGATAGAGAGGGAGGGTAATCACAGACACACACAGAAAGAGGCAGAGAGAGAGAGAGAGAGAGAGAGAGAGAGTGACGAGGCGTTGAAAAAAAATTCCACTTATGTGGTTTTTCTTTGAATATATATATGGCCTCAGTTTTTGTCACTTGCTTGCTTTCAGGCCGACGACTGGTGGGATTACTCCGGCTCCCGCCGCCGCCACTGCCGCCGCCGCCACCGTTCCGGCCGCCTGATCATCAGTTTCCTGTTGTGGGTCGGAAGATTCTTTAGATTTCGCTATATATTCCATAATTGGGGAGGCGGATTCGGTGTCGTCTATCGGCTTCGGGGAGGAAATTGAGGTGGCGATTTGAGCCATGAAAAATAAGTTCTTTTCGACTGTGCGTGCGGCTGGCAGCTGCTGGATCGCCGTTTTTTTTTTGCCTTCTTACGGAAAACCCTCTCCGGAAGTAGTTATTTGTATTTTTGCCCCTCCCCCCCTCTTCATCTGATTTGTCTACTGATTACTGGGTAGAACTAAACTAAAGGTTGTTAATTTCTGGGCTGATCTTCGCACTTCGATCTAGAGATAGAGAGAGAAAGAGGGGAAATCTGAAGAAAAAAATGGAGCCCGAGACGACGGATGGTTTTTTCTTTCCAGTTTCCCCAGCGTTGTCCATCAAAAAGAATTACTAATCGACCCCTTAAAAATAATCTCCCAAGACCAGACCAGGCTCCCCCATTTACAGCAGCCACCAGCAGAGCACCCCTGCCCACGGCGGCGATTCGCTTCCTTCTCCGAGCCCCTCTCCCACTTCCACGGCGCCCAAAAGAACGAACACCTCCCCCTCTGTCGTCGGTCCTGCAGAGCAAAGAAGATCAGTCCCAGACTGGTTATTATTGGATAGGAAAACAAATCGAATTGCAGGTCCTACTAAGCATGGGAGTGATCAGGGTCTCTCTGATAGGTCCCCCTAATGCTACCAAGTAGATAAAAATATGATCTTTACTTAACCCAGCAGAACAAAGAAGATCAGTCCCAGATTGGTTAGTTATTGGATAAGAAAACAAATCGAATTGCAGGTCCTACTAGGCATGAGAACGATCAGGGACTCTCTGGTGGGCACCCCTAATGTTACCAAGTACATAAAAATATGATATTTATTTAATCATGCAGAACAAAGAAGATCGGTCCCAGATTGTTTAATTATGGATAGGAAAATCAATCGAATTGCAGCTCCCACTAGGCATGGGAGATTTGGGTCTCCTAAGATGGCGGCCCTTAATGCTACCAAGTACATTAAAAAATGATCTTTATTTGACCATGCAGAAGAAAGAAGATCAGTCCCAGATTGCTGTCTAATTATGGATGGAAATACAAATCAAATTGCAGTTCCTTCCAGGCATGGGAACGATCATGGTCTCTTTGATGGGCCCCTCTAAGGCTACCTAGTGAATAAAAATGATGATCTTTATTTAACCCTGCAGAACAAAGAAGATCAGTCCCAGACTAGTTATATTATTGGATAAGAAAACAAATCGAATTGCAGTTCTGACTAGGCATGGGAACGATCAGGGTCTCTCTGATGCCCCCCTAGCGCTGCCAAGTACATAAAAATTTCTCCCCATGCGGGAGCCAGCCACATGAGGAGCCTGGTATATTGGTGTTTCGAAAAGGAAAAGGATCCTTCTCCCGGTGACAGGCGGAATGATCAGTTCAGCCAAGAAGGCAGCTTTCCACCTGCATATAAATGGGTAGAGCCGAGGAATTCCTGGCCATCTCTTGGATCCTTCCTCCAGGGAGCCAACGAAATTAGCCTTTGATGCTGATGTTCTTCACATTTATTTTTCTCTATTAATATGAAATTAACCCCCCAATGGTGTGATTAATTGCTTCATAGGAATCATCTCAGGATAACTCTTGAGAGAGAAACCCTCCCTGTCTTGACCAAAAAAGAAGGTCGGTTCAATTCTGACTGATCAAACATAAGAGACAGGACTAAGTTTTCAATCTTTCCTTACTGGGGGGTACCCGCGATTGCAAAAAAAAAAAAAAATCATCAGAAAGCGATGAATGGTCAACGTGATATAAGTTCTATACCACATTGAAAGTTTTGCTATAACAGGTGATAGATACCATGGTGAGAGTCATCGAACCGCAGTCTCCTTGGTGGGAGATGGGAATTCTGGAGATGGAAGGATCCTCGGCGATCAGGGCCAAGAAATCACCCAAATCCGACTGCTATCCTCGGAAATCTACCGTTCCATGTTAGCATGCCATATCTAGGACCAATCTAAAGCAGAAGACCTCAAGAAAAAAAACCAACAAGAACAACGAGCTTTAATGCGGATCAATGAGGAGAAAACGACGGAAATGGGAATCTGCTCAATCATGGAGTAGAGTTTTCAAGCTCACCATGGGGTGGGGGATCGCCTTCAACAAACTGTCTCCACTCAGATCCTCACGAGAAGCTCTTCGCGAGTTTCTGAATGGCGAAGTAGATTTTTCGCCTGGAGCCAACTGCGGTGATTCCCATTTCTTTGAGGTCCTCGAGGGTCAGGAATGGTAGCACCTCGTCATCTACCTCGTGTACCTGGAAAACGGGAACATAGCGCCCCAACCCTAACCCGTTCAGCCACGCCCTGACGCTGCCATCCCCAAGAGAGCTCAAACCCCGACTGCTCCAGAGACCAACACCAGACCCCGGAGGCGGATCCGCGTCCGTAAGCTCCCTCCCATCGGAATCCCTCGCTCTGGAATCCTCCTTCAGGGGACTACCCGAGTCATCATCCTCTTCGTCATAATCCCTGAAACTCTCTTCCGCGGCATCATCTTCGCTCGACCTGAAATCCGGCGCATCCGCCCCCTCCTCGAAGCTCGAGGCCCAATTCGTCCTCACCCGCCGCCTCTTCGGGCCGCCGCCGCCGCCGCTCTTCCTCTCGCTCGCATCGCCGCTTCCCCGCCGTGGTCCCGCCGTCTCCTCGGAAAGGTGCAGGCTTCTGTGCTCCGGCAGCTTCCTCGAGGGAATCCTCCCCATCAAGCCGCCTCCCGACGCCATCGTCGGCTCCCCCTGAGAAGATGGATCAGGGTGGAGCAGGTGAGGGGAAATCCTCCCTTGCTTGCTGCGGCGGATTTGAGGGTCATTGGCGGCTCCGGCGGGGCCGGCCGGCCCGCCGATGTCGCCCAGCCGGACACTGGGGCGGCGCTGCCGCTTTACTCCCGCCCCGGTAGCCACCTCCTCGGCGGCGCCGCCGTTGGCGGGCGCAGGAACCTCCATGACCTGCAGATCTGCCATTGGCGACCTCCCCCAGACCTTCGGACTGCTCCAGGGATTAGGTCCGAAGTAGGAACGCTATCGGTTCAGTAATCCTTCAAGATCCGATTACCCACCACTAACCGTCTTTTTCAAGTCCGTCGTAAAGGGCCGACATCGGATGCCTTCTAAATATTTAAATATTTTTTTAAAAAATAAAAAACAGAATGAGTGGGAAATGGTAATTAATAATTGACATTTTTTTTCTTAATCTCTCATCAAGATAATTATGCAGCAACAATGACCCACAGCAAGGCACATTTATGCGAGATAAATCATTTTTAAATATATATATATAACCGTTGAAATAGTGGTAAAGAAAAAATTAAATGTGATATTTTATGTCTTAAAAAGAAACGTAAGTAGGGAGAAATATGAAGATAATTTTCTCATATTTATTCAAAATAATATTATTATCATTAAATACTAATCATGAAAAAATGGTTGTTTGCCATGAAAACATGTTGGTCACTAGAAGCATCTTTAGAGCATTATTTTACGCGTACGTCCCTACAGATTTGGGTATTCGCATAAATATTTAGAACCTCTGAATAAACGTTAAGATACCCGTTAATAATCATTTTTCAAGGATTTGACCATTCTTTTTTTTCTTTTAAATTAGTAGTCAAACCAGTGACTTTCGTACAAACCAAACACGTACTCTCCAGAGTAAACAGAATATGACCAAGGACGATGGAGCCGGTTCAGGCAATAAAAAAGTCAAAAACATTATAGAAACCATTATTCAACAAGATTGGGAATATTTGTCAAGAACAGGAGCTGACATAAGATTATTTGTCAAGAACCAGCTGAGCTGAGCTCTCGCTATCGCATTTTCAAGCATGGGTCTTGGATTATTCCTCAAAGTCAAAGGAGATAGAAAGTCAAATTCATTACCAACACCCGACACCAAGAAAATAATACAGTTCTAATAGCAGCTGTACACGCTGTAAGGAGAATAAATAATAGGAAGATGGCTTCTGCCTCTTGGACCATGGACAGTTTCTCTGCACTAGATAGAGAGAGAGAGAAACAGACAGACAGACAGACAGACAGACAGACAGACAGACAGACAGAGAGCGAGCGAGAGAGAGAGAGAGAGAGAGAGAGAGAGAGGGAGAGAGATCATCTTGGTTGCTTCCTGAGTGCAAAGGTCGGCTGATGAGTTTTGCCCCTGTACAGAGAGATCCACAGCTGATTTGTTCAGTTGAGAGGCAAAGAACATGGTTTACTCCAGCTTCTTTGTGTAGCGGTCAGGCTGTTTCTTCTCGGGTTCGACAGGGAAGTACTTAATGCCCACGAGATCTCCGACTTTACTGATGACCTGCAAACAAAGATCATGGAAAAGATCAGAATCATACGCCGGGGACGGACTTAGCTGCCCGAGGAACGAGAATATGATGACAAATACGAGGAACACTTCGGAGAACTCACCTCTAAACCCTTGATTAGGTCTTCCCTGGTGTGGGAGGCAGATATGCAGATGCGTGCCCGCGCCAGGAGCAGCGGGGTGGCAGGGAATGCAACAGTCACTACCGCAACCTAATAACCAGAAAGATATGATTAGAATATGATGTTTCTACAGAAGAAATCTAGGTGATGGAATAGTTTCCAAGTATAGAAAATTCTTAGGGTAGAAGAACTGATTGGGGACATGCAAGGAGGGAAGAGGAAGGATGGATGAACTCTGATATTGGTCAAGTGCATGGAGATTGAAAGAGATCATGCATCCGAGAGCTCGTCTGTTCTTGAGAGGGCTGAGATTATGAAGGGGGAACAAAAAAAAAACAGGTTTGATGTGTACTCACATTCTGTCGGAGGCATTCCCTCGAAAAAGCTGGGATCTTTGCCGGGTTGTAGAGCATTATCGGCATGACTGGTGAGTCATTATCTCCGAGGACCTCGAACCCCATCTTTTGAAGCTCTGATCGGAAGAAGTTGCTGTTCTCACGGATCCGGGTGAGCTTCTGAGCCCCTGAGATAATAAGAGAGAAAATAAAGATGCGTACAGGTAATTATAGGAATGGAGTTGTAGGAGGAAGAGAGAGAATCGCCTACCTCTGTTAGACCCATCCTCCCCAAGAATGACCTTCATAGAAGATATGGCCTGCTGAACCGCGGGTGCTGACATAGACGTCGCGTAGAGATGAGCCGGGCAAGTGAACTTCAAATATTGGATGATTTCCTGATATCGACGGGGGTTTAGTTGGCCACCAGGTTACATGCATGTTCACCAACTTCGCGACAGAAAACAAATTTTCTTCTAAAAATAGAAAGAAACCTTTGATGCAGCAATGTATCCTCCACAGGAACCAAAAGACTTTGTGAAGGTCCCCATCATTATATCCACATCAGCTGTGTCAACTCCAAGGAGCTCGCAGACGCCTCTGCCCGACTTCCCAACGGCACCTATGCTGTGCGCCTCATCCAGGTATGTGTAGGCCTGCCCAAAGGGGGAAAATAATTGATAAGAATCATATTTCAGCCGATAGGGATAAGGGTTTTCAAGAAATCTCCACAGGGTCAGAACCTTATATTTCTTGCAAACTGCGATGATCTCTGGAAGCTTGCAGAGCTCCCCCTCCATGCTGTAAATTCCCTCAACGATGACAATTATCTTCTTCCAAGGCCTGTGCGTTCGCGGCTGCCCATTGGCGATCTGTTCCCTCAGCACCTCCTCCAAGTGAGACGGGCCTACAGAAAATATCAAACGAGCAATTAGATGCAAGGAGATGAGTACAAGCCGGAGCGAGGATGCCCTTCAAGCGCAGAGAAGAAACCTACTGTTGTGTTGGAAGACCCGAACTGTTGCCCCCGAACCACGAGCGCCGTTGACTATAGAGTTGTGGTTCAATGAATCGCTAATTATCAGGCCTCCCTGTCAAGCACCATGGAGAATAAGAATCTCATGTGACTCCTATGGTCTAGGGAGATATCCTCCTAGGTTCCTACTGGAAAAAAGGTCACACCTTTCCCATGATAACAGGAATGATTGCCGAATTAGTCACATAGCCCATGCCAAAAACTAGAGAAGCTGGCTTCCCGACAAATCTCGCGACTAATTCCTCCAGCTCTATGTGCAATTTAGTGGTGCCTGTGAGCCAGGAACCATTAGCTGGAACGTAAATTGAACTACTAATTTCTTCGTCACGACACCAAAAATATACCTACCCCCGTCCACGCGCACACTGCAGGTGCTTGAAGAATATCTCTTTAAGGATTCGACAACACGCGGTGTGCAGTACTCATCCGATGCCGCAAAGCCGAGGTAGTTGTATGATCCTAGATTGAGGCATTTACTTATGTTTTCCGTGCGACTGCATGGACAATATCCTTTGAGATTAAACCCTCAATCATGCAACTCGTATGAATCATTAAAAAAATGAAAGCTATCTTGTGGTTAGAGAGAAAATTATTCGACTGGGTCATGCAGCTCAGATTTTCAAAGGGGTATTAGCCATTATGGCATACGGATCACATCAAATGGAAGAAGATTTTTTCAACTCACTGCAATGTCTTGTTGTTGTCGTTGGAGTAGCGCTCAACAACGTCAAACCATGCATCCGGCGCGCTAGCAATAGGCCGGCCGAAACAGTCCTTGAGAGGAGAGCAAATCAGAACTTAGATCAAAGCCAAAGATTACATAGTTGAAAAATATTTTCAAGAGTACGTTCTGCGTGATAAAATAGTAATATCACATGGAAAGGAGCACTAATTTGGTACCCGTGACCATGATTTTCTGCATTCTATCAAAAATTTCACATGATATCAGAGGCAATTTTTCTCTCGGGGTCAGCCAGTAAGAAGGGAAATATTATTTATAAATAATTAACAAAGAGTATGTGAATCGACATTATTATGCAATCGGGGTATGAACTAAGAGCCAAATCACAACCCAAATCCAGCTCATTTCCCCCAAATCGCATCAACTAATTAATCGACTGGAATTTGTAATCTCCTCCGGAAAAAGGAAAACGGAATTGAGAAGATCTACAGAGAAACCACATATGTAGAAATCTTAATATATGGAATCTCTATTGATGCCTTACGAACCCACCGATGAACAGTGAGGGGGACAGAAGATGGGATACCTGGATGCGGAGATAGAGCCGCCGCGTGTAGAAATCTTCGAGTCCCAGGCAGATCGGGGCGTAACCCTGCTCCAGCAACATCCAATTTCCCCATTCAGGAACCGATCTAAACAGATTATGCGACACGCGAGGGGACACGGATTACCCGTCTCTCCCGCATTTATTACCTGGAGATCCTTAGACTTGGCATTGTGCCAATCCACGATCCTTCTGAAGAGATCCCTCAGCTGGCCGAACGCAAACAGTAGGCCATAGCTGAAGAGGGTTGTCAGGGCGGTCAGATACGGCAGTCTCACCATCTTTCCCCCAGGCACCCGATTCACCGACGCCGCTATGAATCTCACCCGAAGAGGACAGCCTTGTGGAAGGGAGAAGTCTTCCGATGGAAGGGGTGTGTACGTGAATTGGCAGGGCCTCTATAAGCTCATCTTCGAGGACGGACTTTCTCGTACCGTGGGCAAAGAACCAGAGGAAGAAGGGCCCAAAGATTGAGAACCAAGGAGACGGCCTTGAGTCTTCCCAGAAACCGGTCCACCGCAGGGAAGAAAACGGCGCCGGCGGACGACCGGGACGAGGACCTCCCTCCCCCTCTCTCCCTCTGTGTGTGTCTCTCTCCCCCCCTCTCTCCTCCCTGAGAAATCTCTTCGCAGATTCAATTTGGGAATTGAATGGAGGGGTATTTTGGGTATATCAGAAGAAGTTCCCCTGATTTGGATCTGCGAGGGATGGTAAAGCAAGGGAGCCTTGACCACTTTCCCCTAACAGGATAATGGTCTTCGCGGCCCATTATCTCGCGACCAGCTTAGGCTCATTATTAGGTACTCTCTCCCAGCGTGGGCTGTGGAAATTGGGCCCCATTTTAGGTGGCTCTCTAACTCTCCCACATGGGCTGCTTTGGGGCAGTTGGGCCCGCTAGAACATGAGCAAGATCCCTACCGACTCAGGAAGACAACAAGCAAATCAATTGGGCCCGGGTTAGGTTCGTCATCGGAGGGCCCACTTAGTAACTAATCCTATGAAGATAATACTAATCGGCCCAAATAGATGGCCTGGCCGGCAGTCCTTATGTGGGTACTCCTATGAATAATTTAATAATGCATAATAATATATAATTTAAATAACCATAATTTTTTAAAGTAGAAATATTTTGAATATTTGAAATTTATTTTGGTCGTTGAAATGACAGGGACGAGAGCTAGATTTGATCTCGATCGTTGACTACCGAATTAAAGCTGTGGTCTCCGTATTAGATGAAACTCCGACCGTCCGATCTCATATAAAGCAGCCATCCCCTCTCTCTCTCTCTCAAGAGGCAGAGAAGCAGTGGAGAGTTGGGTGCTGGGGTAGAAAAGAAAATAAGGGAACAAAAGAGGGATTCACACGTAAGAAGACCACCGCCGCAGTTTTGGCCTCTTTTAAACACGGCCCCTGCCGCTGCCGGCGCCGCCGTTGCCGCGGCCGGCGAAGTCCACCGTAGACGTAGAAAAGTAAGGGCTACCTGCGAAGGAGGCTCTTGCCGTCAGCCTGCGGGACATCATAATCCATGCTCAGATTGCGGAACACCAGAAGCCTCCTTATTAATCAGTCAAATACTCGGCACATGGTCAACCTTACATCCGGCCCACCAAGATTTTCTAAACATAGCAACCTACGGCTAGCTGAGCTGCAGATCGACCCCAGTTAGAGAACGAGAATGAGAGAGAGAGAGAAGATATATTGGGTGAGAGAAGGAGAGAGAAAGACATTGAGTAAGAGAGAGAGAGAGATTCACCTCTCCTGGCGCTTCCGGAGGAACCGCTGCAGAGATTTCCTCCTTGCTAATGGAATATCTGAGAGAGAAGAGAGAAGATGAAGGGCAAATGTTGTTACAATGGAGAGAGAAAGTTCATCACCACATAACGAAGAGACCGTAACTAGGCCTGATAATATTTACCAACGATCATCTCGAAAGAGTTGACTTGGGGCTCACCACCTCCGGGGATATTATTCCGTGGGAGGGTCAGCACTCGTGACAGGTTCTTCCCGCGGCCGCCGCGTCCGGCGCTTGTCGACTCCGCCCACCGGATGATTTCTTCGGCCTGAGAAAATCAAGCGGAGATGGTTAGGAAGAAGAAGACGGGAGAGGAAGAGAAGTCGGAGGAGACGGCGATGGAGTCAGAGCTCACGATATCCCCGCGAAGGTAGAAGACGTTGACTTTCCCGTCGTAGAAGATCGTCAGTGGAGCCGCGGAGACATGACAGCCGTCCCCAGGAGATCTAAAGGAGCAGAGTTGTTCGCGGAATATCAGTTTTTCCCGAAGAGGAAGGACATTGCTTGGAGAGTGGGGGATCGAGCCGCAGTACCTCGGAGACGGATCGGCCAACGGCAACGACGACTGAGGCCGCCGCCCGAAGAGTTCGACGGTGGGTGTCGGAGAAACTGGGCTAGAGTATCTCACCCCGAACCTGGGAGATCCGACGGCGCCGCCTTCGCCGCCGGAGCTCATCACCATCCTCAGAACCTGCGGGTCTAGCTTCGACATGGCTCTCTGAATGTCTGAAGAATTTCCGTGGAGAATGTAAGCGAGAGAGAGAGAGAGAGAGAGAGACAGACAGACAGACAGACAGAGAAAGTGACAGAGACAGAGAGGTTGCATATTTGCAGATGGCGATCACCTCGGACGGAGCTCGTCTGCCGCCGGAGGACACCGCCGCCCTTCTTCTCTCCATGGATGTCAATCTCCGCCGCCTGCAACATGGCCTCCTTCACCCTCTTCTCCTTCTCCCCTGGTGGGTTATCCCTCACTCCTCTCCTCTTCCGTTTCTCTGATATCGCCGTAGAATTCCTTTCACGTCAAGCGAGAGAGAAGGGGAGAGAGAGATATAGAGAAAGCGAGAGAGAGAGAGAGAAAGAGAGAGATAGAGAAAGCGAGACACATAGAGAGAGGTAGAGAAAGCGAGACACAGAGAGAGAGATAGAGATAGATAGAGATAGAGAGAGAGAGAGAGAGGGGGAACCCGGGGGGGGGGGTTCCACAGCGTGCTCAGATGCGGCGCCGCACGGGGAAAACGTCGCCGCCGGACTTGCTGGTGAGGACGGCGTGCGGCCATTAACGGGGACGCCGCTGATTGAGGGGGATGGATGGTAATTGAAATCAGCGGGATGGATGGTAATTGAAGTCACGGAAGCGTCGTGTGGCGGATGCAACCTGGAAAACGTGCGGAAAATGTAAATGCTCCCAGAAACGACTTTAGAATAGTGGCGGGACGACACGTGTAACCACGTGATTCTCGACCCTTTGCCGACATCATTATTTGTCCACTGAGCCGACAGCGGGCAAGCGGTCCATTAAATGCCACGCCTTCCTTCGCAGGTTTTCAGTTCGGCCACGTCAATAATCCGATTTACCTCTCAATATTATATATATTTTAAATATTTCCCTTTCATGACGTAAGGGATGCGTGTCGGTCAATTTTCTTCGCCTATTTATAATTAAAATGGGTATTTTTGATAAATGCGTGAAGACCCGCTAATTTTCGGGGAAAGGAGAAAAAGTCAAATATCGAAAAAGAATAATATAATGAGATTTTAGAGGTATAATTAAATATAAAAATCGAGGTCTCGGCTAAGCGCGCCCCCCTCCCCACCTTCCCATTTAGAAGCGTTGACCACAAGGAATCTAGGGCCCAATCAAGGAGCTGTTGCTGCCGTGGAGTTAGGCGGTTAGGTGTGCCATCCTTTTTTTTTTTTGCGGAGTTAATTTTTTTCTCGTTGGTTTATTAACCCGTAATTACCAGCTAATTGAGCTCACGTTTTTAATTATCTGCTGATTGTTCTTCGTTATATAATCAATATCGTGATGTTATACGATTCATGTGTTCTTAGAGTCATTAAATAGTAATTAATACGTAAAAGTATTGGTAGTTGGATGACGGCGGAGGCGGGGCAAGCGTGATCTTAAAAACACGTGTTTTCAAAGAGACGAGGACGTCCACTTAATCTACCACCCGCGCTCTGTCTGTACTCTTCGTGGACAATGGTTTATGGTCAAACCTGGACGGGTTAGAAGGCCAAGTCAATGTTTCGCCCCAAAAGGAGTCAACATTAGACACATGAAACCTTGAGAGGATATCGCTCCGGCACGTGCGAAATGATCTACAAGAAAAGAAGGCAACAATGGAGGAAAGCCAGGGGTTGTCGTGTCGCCGTCCGCAACGGCCAAACGCATAGCAGGAGTTCACTAAGTCGCCGACGACTGTCGCTGCCATAGTACTGCGCTGCCCCTGTGGAACCGTCGCCTGCGCTGTCCGAGTTACAGAGCTTGCTTTATCGTCTCGGTTACGCTGCCGTGTCTGGTCAGCAGGAATCAGTGGTAGTGATGGGCTTGCGGTACGGGGAGGACGACGCTAGCCTGTGGAAATGGCAGGGAAGGATTCAGAACCGTGGCCGCCCGATCTAACGTGAAAGCCGCTGTGCTAGAAGCCCGGCCATGTAAGGTTCGTGACGCCTCGGCGGTGATGTAAACAGGAAAAGGGAAACTGGCGAGCGAATCCATATTTGGAGTAGGGAGGCGGCGAGGGAGTGATGATCAGGGAGGCGGTTCCTACCTTTCTTTTCTCTTCTCCAAGAACCTGTAGAGGGACTTGCTCCTCATGATAGGCAGATCTGGAGATGGACAAAACCAAGATAATAGAACCTGTAAGCGGATGGACGATTCATGGGAGGATCTTCCTAGTCGTGGATTGAAATAAACATGAAAAAATCACGGTCGAATGGGAAGAAATCTGGAAGAGAATTTGTAAAAGCTCACCTAGTCGGTTGCCGCTGGCTGGAGTTCCTTTTGGGGGTCCATCTGATCTCTTGGCGGTCAGAGACTCCACCATCTTTATAACTGCCCCCGCCTGAAATCACGACGAAGTGAGCGGTCGTGCTTGATAATCCGTACAGACTCTTAAATTCGAAGAGAGGACGAGTGAATGCAGTCGTGTGGAGCCGAACCTTGTCGTGAGTAATATTAACAGCGGTCACGGTACCATTGTAGAAGATCGTGAGCGTAGACAGGTCAGGGAGACCAGTCGAATCAGATCTGTACATAAACAGAAGCTCCTGGGATTAACTTGCTGGCCAGACGAACAGAAACGAGACCTGCATCTCAACCCGAGTCCTCTACCATAGAAATCGAGAAGAGAAGACGGATCAGTCAGTCACCTGGAATTGGGATCGAAGACGGGGAGCGGCGATGGCAACCTCCCTGCCGCAGCACAGAACGATGGATCTGACGAGACGTGGGAGTTCCCCTGGCGCCGCGAGTCGACATCCCTGGCCTCTCCGGACGCCATGACCGTCTTCAAGAGCTGCGGACTGATCTTCGACACAACGCTTTGAATGCCTGCAGATTTCGCGACACACGACCACAGAAGGAAAACATCATCTCCCATTCCAGAAGATCGATTCCACAGTAGCATCAGGCACCGGGACGCAGCACAAAAAACACGAGAAATCAAACAAACCTCGGCACGAGGTTCCGGCGCGTGACCTCCTCTTCATCCTGAAGAAATCAATCTCATCGTGTGACCTCTCCATTTCCCGGACCTCTCTACCTCGTTCTGACACTCCCCACCTGTCTCCTCGGCATTTAAAACCAGGGGGACTCCCCATGAGGGGAGAGAGACCCTCTGCCAAGGGAATCAACCAATTTCGGCGGGGCAATCGGCACGAGCGTAAATACAGTTACCATAATACCCTTGATTTTTTGCGATCAGTTATCAACACCCGTGGTATATAATTGTCATTTTCGGGAATACTTGGTGGGCAATCCAAGGCAACGTGCAAAAAAGCGTGTTGCCGTGAAGAACTTTTCCACGCGGCGGTGCAGTCGACATACGTTCGCACGGTTGGATCCAACGGTCATGGAAGGCCCCCATGGACGGCCAGATTCAGTCAGAGATCCCCGCCCACTGGATCGAGTGCTGAACACTCTCATCTACTCCGCTGATTTATTAGTCTGTATTTATTATTTTTAATAGCCGACTCTCTGCCATTTTCATAAATATATAAAAAATATACTTGGACCGAGTAATGCTCGACCGTTGACCTTAAATGTTTGACTTTCTTGTTTCTACCCCCACCTTATTTACGGCCCAATATAAGACCTCATTTTTCATTTATATGTCGGTAATTCCATTTTATTATTTTGTGGATGCCGAATAATAATTAATTATTATTCGGCATCCACAATCGCGTGGGGCCCATAGCCGTTTGACAAAATTAACAGGTGCACGCCTTCCGCGTGCTGTTTGACAGAAGTAATAGTACTATCCCATTATGCTCCCTAAGGAAATAATTTATATCCCAAATACCCGATAATGTAAAATATTGAAATTACAACAGGAGGAGATTGATTTTAAAAGGGTTTACATTTTTTAAATAAGTAAAAAATAGATGGTTTTATGTTGGATTTTAAAAATATTTTTTATACCCTTATAGAAATAGCGGTCCTGGTGGATGGTTGGGTCCGGTTTCGGCCCAGTGGACCCGATAGGAGATCCAAATAGAGGGCCCTTCGGACAAGGCGGCCGAGGTGAGTGAGGAAAATATTGAAGGAAGAGGTTCTTTCGTCCTCAACCGTTGTCTTCGTCCTCTCCCAAAACCTCGGAACCAGAACCCTAGCCCCGCCATGGCCGACACGAAGGGGGAGGAGTTCCTAGACGCCGGGCAGCTGACGAAAAGGAAGCCTGAAGCGGAGGCTGCGGCCGATGTGCCGGCAGAAGTCGAGGTGAAGAAGCGGAAGCCAGGGAGTTCCCCCGATCGGCTTCATGAAGCTTGGGGAGGAGAAGAAAATGAGGAAGACAAGCGTTCTCCAATCGAATCCAACGGGAAATCCGCCGCCCCCTCGGTCGACAAGGGTAAGGGTGTGGTGGCTGCGGTGGATAAAGGGAAGGGCAAGATGGTGGTAGAGGAAGCGGAAGAGGAGGAGAACGGGGGCGACAACGACGATAGCGACGATGACGGTAGTGACGATGACAGCGGGGAGGTCGTCTTGGGGGAGGATTATGCAAGCGACTTCTCAGATGATCCGCTTGCCGAGGTGGATTTATCGAACATTCTCCCTTCGAGGACTCGGCGGCGGGAGCCTCCGCTGCCAGGTGCCTATCTCGTAAACGACGGGGACGAGGAAGAAGAAGAAGACGACGAGGATGTTTCTGATTGACTGATGAGAATGGAAGAGGTAATTCCGGGGGGAGGGGGAGGGTGGGAGAGTGCGTTGAACTCTGATAATTCGGATCGTCTTTCCCCCCTCACAGTACCTCTCTATCTTTGGGAATTTTAGGCATAGCATAATTTTTGCCTGCGGAAAGGAATGTATCAAACGCTTTTGTCTACGCTTGCAGTGCTTCTCATGTACGAAACCAAACGTTGATCACCATATCCCGAATTACCTTTTTGCTGAACTTCGGTGAAATTTGGTGGTGTTTTTGGTTGCTGGCTTGCTATCCTACCTTCCTCTGTGTTCACTTGGCTAGTTGGCTCTCGTCCGTCTGCAGCTGATGTTGTTATGGTGACAGGGTCTACGAATGGTTGTCTAGCCTTCCTTCTGTGATGCAGAGCTGCCACTCTTCCTTCTGTTGGTTTTCTACCAACACGAGATAGAAATATATCCTACGAAGAAAGTAATCTATGGGCATCGAGATTTTATGATTTGCTATCAAAGTTATCAATATACTTGGGTCACATGTTCTTCGATGCCTTCAGTGTGATCTACGCGCCTGGTGAACACTTTTCCATTTTTAACATTTATTTGCGTATCCATTCGAAGTTATGCAGCATTTTACCTTACGTATTTCTCTTGATTTTCTAGTCTATCTTCAGCTGAACTTAAGGCTTCTCTGACTTGCTGTTAAGGTTAAATTTTTTTGTGATCACAGCATGAAACCCTAGCACCATATTTACTTGAAATCTGACGAAAGGAATGACCTTTTGACACATCGGCACCTTGACTACCGCTCTATGGCACTTGGGAGGTGCATTTTGGATGAAGATTACAGAAAATGTTATTGTGAGATATAAGTATAAGTATGCATGTTACAAGACTCAACCTTTTGTTTGCTGCTCTGTTCCCCCCATGTGATGACTTATCAGTGGACAGGGGATCTGACTGAGGATGAGCAGAGGGGGACAGGGGAAGTGTTGCGGTTGTTGATCACTCAGTAGATTCGGGACTCGGCGGTCGTCATGCTTTTGGAGATTCAGATAGAATAATGAGCTGCTAGTAGGTGGTTGCTCTGAGGAGGGAGGACAAGAACGTATCTGACAAAGTCTTTTGAGTGTGGTTAGAGAAATGACGTGTGGTTAGTGAATATTTTTCTGCTAGTCGGTTTTATTGTCGGTTGTTTGCATCAGTTTCTCTTTACATGAAATGACTGTAAGATTCTAAGTAATCCGTTCATTTACAAAAATAGCATAGACATTAATCTAGCGTTGTACTGAGATTTCCTGGAAGCATTTCTTAGAGTAACTGCTTATTTGGGAATGTTCAATAGTTGATATGAACCCTAATTTTCCCGATTTTGGATATTTTTTTATTTTTCGTGATTACTCCTTTGTAAGATTGTCTATTTGAATGGATCCAGCTTCCAAAGATCTGCATACACTTCTGCATGATATAATCAGACGTATATATCGATAAGAGATCTTACGAGTTATCTGATCAGATCCAGCCCATTAGTCGAACAAACCAAGAATCGCAGACATGAAAGAGGAACAAGAAGATATGATGAAGGGGTCGTCTTTAAAATTTATTTTAAGATCTTTTTTTCTTTTTCTTCTTATTTATTACTCCGGTTGGCATAATTTTCCTCCGTAATTTTTTATTGCCTGTGAAAGCTGGGTAAATCTTATTTTCCGGTGAAGCTCCTCATCAGTATTATTGCTTGGTCTTATTTCTCACGGCTGTATGGTTCTCATTAGTCGGGAGCAGCTGCGTGATCAGTGCTCTTATTTTCCTTGTTGAATGGTATCTTTTCTTTTCTGGGAAAGCAGATGGTTCGTGTTGATGTGGGATCTAACGGGTAAGTCCTCTCGAATTGGGGAAAAAAAATAATTCTCCGTTGACCTTTTTATCTTGCCGTAGGTCGGTCATTTAGACATCGCCGCGTTCTTCGTTGACCATCGCCATAGTGGGCCCTCTTTCCTTTTAGTTCTCTCTCTCTCTACGTCTCCTCTGGAAGGCAGGGGGAAGAGAAGCTGGGGGGCAATTGGTGAGCTGCTTCTAGGCCATTGGATGTTGAAAAAGAACCCATTTTGGTGATTTGGGTGGATGGGTTTTTTGGTAATTCTCTTCCACGTCATCGCTTACCCCTTCACCACGCGAGGCTGCCGCCGCCACCGCCTCTCGCTTCTATAACAGGCTTCGTGTTCCCGAAGAAAACCCTAATCTTCTTCTTCGCGGCGCTGTGGAGCCGCGCGCGGGACCTCGTAGGAGATAATCAGAAGAGGTATGTTTGCCTCCCATTCTCCGCTCCGATCGGTGGTGTTCATGGCAACGATTGTTGCGAGAAATCTGTCGTTGATGTGTTCTCGTCGTGCCCTAAGCCGATGTTACGAGTAGAATCATCTCGTTTTCATGGGATCTTACTTCTGCTGCGAGATCTGTAGGAAATCCTCATGTAGTTTTAGTCATCCAGAATCCACGTATTTAATATTTCCTCGGATGTAAGAAATGGGAGAGGGATTTTTTTTTCTCTACAATTTTCTGCGACAAGCCTCTCCGCAGGAGTAGTGAGAAGAAGTCCCTAACAGTAGAGTATGTATTTCGATCCTTGCAAGGTCTCGTTTGCCTAGAATGAGGTTGCTAGATTTAGATATCCTTCTTCGTAAGCTTCTATCGAGACAGATTTCTGTCTTCAATGCCGGTCTGAAGAAGAACTTCCGTTCTGCCACGGAATGCCTATGGACATCGACTTTGTCCTCCCTGCTCTCTTTTCTTCAATTTTTCTCTCTAATGCTTGATCGGTGACCAGAGTGCCATGATGTCCGGGCATGAGCTGCATCATTCGAATTCCTCGTTTCCTTTGTGTAAAATCGTGCGTATATCTAGTGGAAACACGAACTAAAGTTATTTTCAACCCTTGAATAACCCCCGTCTGTTTGATTTTTTTTCATCGTTTTGGGAAGGAAAGAAAATTAATGCGCGATTGGAACTATCATTCACATTCACATTCTTGATATTGTATTATTCTTCACTCCCTCTTCATCCCTCCATAACTCTTTGATCCCCAAGCTCTGGTTTGATGCACTTGCGGATTGAAATCTGATCCATGTACAGGTGAGGAACGATGGGCCGGAGACCTGCTCGTTGCTACAGGCAGATCAAGAACAAGCCCTACCCTAAGTCGCGGTACTGCCGGGGGGTCCCCGACCCCAAGATCCGCATCTATGACGTGGGCATGAAGAAGAAGGGGGTCGACGAGTTCCCCTTCTGCGTCCACCTGGTCAGCTGGGAGAAGGAGAACGTCTCCAGCGAGGCCCTGGAAGCCTCCCGCATCGCCTGCAACAAGTACATGACCAAATTCGCAGGAAAGGACGCCTTCCATCTCCGGATTCGGGTCCACCCCTTCCACGTTCTTCGGATCAACAAGATGCTTTCTTGTGCCGGTGCTGATCGGCTTCAGACTGGCATGAGAGGCGCATTCGGGAAGCCCCAGGGAACCTGTGCAAGGGTGGATATTGGGCAGGTGCTCATGTCCGTTCGCTGCAAGGAAGGCAATGGAGTGCACGCTCAGGAGGCCCTGAGGAGGGCCAAGTTCAAGTTCCCCGGCCGACAAAAGATCATTGTGAGCAGGAAGTGGGGATTCACCAAGTACAACAGGACCGATTACCTCAAGTGGAAGTCGGAGAACCGGGTCATGCCCGACGGTGTGAATGCTAAGCTCCTCGGCAGCCGCGGGCCGCTCGTCAACCGCCAGCCCGGCAGGGCCTTCTTGACTGCACCATTGTCCGCTGCTTAGGCTCAATTGTAGAAGAAGAAGAAGAGGAAGGCTGACAGGTTTTGCTTCATTCATCTGGAGGGCTGATAGCTGGGTCTGTGTTTTGCTCTGTTTTGGTTCCTGGTTGCTAGAAACGTCCGTCTGGTTGCTCTGTCGTCCTTCTGTGACCTTGTGATTTTCTTTGGTCTGTGTCATCACCAGGGACGTGGTAATTTTTGTGGTCGGTTTTGTTATTTTTATTTTCAGTGGCATAATTGTTCTAATTTTCCGCATTATTATTTCTTGGAAAGAGCTGGAGAATGATGCTCGAAAGCCCACAGGGAATATTTGCGATGCATTTAATCTATTTTTAATATATTTTGGAATTTTTTTTAAAGGAAGTAGCTCCATCGTTTTGGTATCAGCCCATTAACTTTAATTATAATTACTTTACTTTAACGCATGAATATATCATAATAAAAATATATTATTTTATTTATTTTCATGCACGAACTGTTAATTATTTCACTATAATTTAAAAATATAACATATAATATAATAAAAGCAACAAATAATTAACTTATTTTAATACGTGATTAATCGCTAACAAGAATTTTTCTACAGACACTGCGTTCACACTATATTTGGCCCTTTAGAGGAATTTTAGTAATTAAAAAATATTTGGGTAATAATTAACAGATTATGGGAGTCAACATGCCGGGAAAAAAATTAAAGCGCGGGGGTTATGAGGACTCTTTCGGATCCTCCCCAGGGCAGCAGGTGACGTGGTGTTTTGCTCTGCTGCCGCGCGCAGTAGCCGTGCACCTCACACCGGGGGGGGCCCTCCGGTGGAGTTTGTTCTTTGTGGGCCACTCTGTGGACCCCAAGGTGTGTGATCGTGGGCCAGCCCAATTATTTCCTTTAAATTCTTTGAAGTGCTATAGTATTCAATTTTTTTCAGAAAAAAAGATTTATTGTGGGCCTATCCGGTACCGGTAGAAGGTACGAGAGGCATCTCTCGTCTTGGAGAAATGGACGGATATGATCCACTTGTTCTCCGAATGGACGACCCGAATCGGTCTCAGCACAGCGTTGGTGGGCCAGTTCGCGGGAATTTTCGCGATCCATTTGACCGGTGCGGGCCCATCTCGGGGCCACCCACCCGCTCGTTACATGTAACTTTATTATTAAGTCCCTTAAAACTTATTTATTTATTTAAGGTGGGTGATCAAAGAGCATTGGGATAATGTAGGGAGGGGCGAATATACAATTGTATGAATCTTTTTTTGTTTTTATTCGGCCACCTTTTTTCCAAATTTTGTGCTCCGCCCCCTGTTCGGCTAGTGACTTCCTCGGCATGTGGCATGAACAGTCAGCAGATAAGGACAGAGATCCCAGCGGCGATGGCCATCGTACGGTTCAAGCTTTCCCTCGACAGCCGCCCCACAATCTGCAGCCGTTGATCTGATGGCCGAAGGGACTGACCACGTTGGAGAGAGAAAAAGGAGCTGACAGCAATAGATAGATAGATAGAGAGAGAGAGAGATAGAGATAGAGATAGAGAGAGAGAGAGAGAGAGAGAGAGGGGGGGAAGACAGAGAAGACAGAGAAGAGAGGGAGAAGAGAGAGTGAGGAGGGGAGGAAGAATCGAACGAGGAAGGGGCGGAGGGGGGTTGGTCTCCTCAGCTTCGTCGTCTTCGTCAGGTGGCTTCGTTGCTACTCTCGGTCTCCTTGCATGGGGTTGAATCGCTAGTTGAAGGCCCCCATCGGCTGGTGATTTCGGATTTCTTTTTTTATTTCTTCGTCTCAGATCTGCCCTTCTGCCTTGTGGTATGGTCGCCCTGATCCATTTGTTCAGGAATTTGGTTTGATCTGGGAGTGGTCTGCTGCTGGATGTTCTAGTTTAGGTGAGTCGTCTTCGTGGGATCGCTCGTCGTGGCCTCGCGCATCCTCCGGAGGAGCGATTTCTGGTTTCCTCCGGTGGGTTTCTCCTTTCTCGCCACCGGTGAGGGCACGATTTTTGACCTCCAGATCTCGGTCCCTTGAGGCACTGCCTGGTGTTCCCTTGCTTCTTTGGCCACCGTCGGCAGTGGGAGTCTTGAACCTGCGGATCTGTGTAGAATCTCGCGGTTGTTTCGTCTAGTCTAACCCTTGTCTCGTGAGGGGAAGAGGGCCAGGATGTTTTACTTTCCGGAGGAGGTTGTGGAGCATATCTTCAGCTTCCTCAGCTCCGATCGAGATAGAAACACAGTTTCTCTGGTGTGCAAGGCGTGGCATAGGGTGGAGAGACTCAGCCGAAGGGGAGTGTTCATCGGGAATTGCTACGCCGTGGGGCCGGAGAGGCTTATGGCAAGGTTTCCCCGTCTCCGGTCGCTCACTCTTAAAGGGAAACCCCATTTTGCGGATTTCAATCTTGTCCCCCATGATTGGGGAGGATATGCGCGTCCCTGGATCGAAGCTTTGGCTCGGGGCTGTCCTGAGCTCGAGGAGCTCCGCCTGAAGAGAATGGTGATCACTGACGAATGCCTTGAGCTCCTTGCCCGGTCCTTTCCCAACTTCAGAGCACTGTTCCTCGTCAGTTGCGATGGCTTCAGCACGGATGGCCTTGCTGCTATTGCAACACACTGCAGGTACGCATTCTGATCCCTTTTTCGGCCTGTTCTGATTCTAGCGAGCTGCTGCAACCATTTTATCGATTGCTTGAATGCTGGGTACTGAGAAGGCGGGCTTTTAGGATCTGCACATTTTATTTAGGTTTGAACCAAATTACCTCGATTTTTTTTCTGTAGAAATAGAAACGTGAGTTCCTGGCTCAGTTCCATGGTTCTTGTCCTTCCCCTCAAACCAAAGAACATATAGAGAGAAGTTGGTTTCATATCAATTGCTTGACCGGGACAATCTTCCTGCTATTCTTGGAATGATATGCCATTCTGGTCAACTCCATCGTCCTCCCATTGACGCTGCTCCTCATTTGACTCTGACAGTGGCAGTCGATTCCATTATCATTTTGGTCAATTCCATCTACTGAGTTGCTCCATGAGCTTCTGGTTGACTATATTTAGAAGTTAGAACGTGCACTTATCCCACCTCCCTTCCCAGCCCTGTGATATGGAAGAGCTGGGCCTCCAGGAAAGTGAGATTGATCATGACTGGGAGTGGCTTAGCTACTTCCGCAGTTCCTCGACATGGCTTGTTTCATTGAGCTGTTGGTTGTATGTGTTTCAAATTTAGGGTTTATGCTTTTGAAAAGTCTCTGCTTGACTCCCCCATCTCCCCCCTTCTGCTCTCCACAACTGTAGGCATCTCAGGGAGCTGGACCTCCATGAAAATGAGGTCGACGACCGGGGGGAGTGGCTGAGTTGCTTCCCGGAGTCCTCTACATCGCTTGTTTCATTGAACTTCGCCTGCCTGAAAGGGGAGGTGAATGCGGCGGCGCTGGAGAGGCTCGTGGCCAGGTGCACCAACCTCAGAAGCCTGTGGATGAACCGCAGCGTATCGCTGGAGATGCTCTCCAGGATCGTCTCAAAGGCCCCCCACCTGGAGGATTTGGGCACGGGCTCGTACGTCCACGACCCTCATTCCGAGTCTTACCACAATTTGATCAACGCATTCCTGAACTGCAAGTCTATCAAGAGCCTCTCGGGCTTCTGGGATGTCGCCCCCCGCTGCCTGCCGGCCGTTTACCCAATCTGTTCCCAATTAGCCTACCTGAACTTGAGCTATGCCGCAACCATCCAAGCCGACGACCTCATAAACATGATCGGCCACTGCACAAAACTTCAGAAACTCTGGGTGAGCTCCATCACTGATCATTTCTTCGCTGCATCTTCCTTTTCTTCTTCTTCTTCTTCTTCCAAATTTTGTTTTGTTTTTGAAGTTCCTCGTTGCAATTCAGGTGCTGGACTGCATTGGGGACAAAGGGCTCGCAGTGGTGGCGTCCCGATGCAAGCAGCTGGAGGAGCTCAGGGTCTTCCCTTCAGACCCTTTCGGCCATGGGACGATTGACTCCGTGACGGAGGAGGGCCTGGTGTCGATCTCCTCGGGCTGCCCCCGGTTCAACTCGGTGCTGTACTTCTGCAACCGGATGACCAATGCAGCGCTGATCACCATTGCCAAGAATTGCCCCAATTTCGTCCGCTTCAGGCTCTGCATCCTCTCCCCGAAGAAACCAGACCCGTTGACTCACCGGCCGCTCGACGAGGGCTTTGGCGCCATTGTCCAATCCTGTCGTGGTCTCCGGCGGCTGTCAGTCTCCGGCCTCCTCACCGACCAGGTCTTCCTCTACATCGGCAAGTACGCAAAGAAGCTGGAGATGCTCTCAGTGGCCTTTGCCGGAGACAGCGACAAGGGGATGCTCTACCTGCTTAACGGCTGCCGGAGCCTACGAAAGCTGGAGATCAGGGACTGCCCATTTGGTGATGCTGCGCTGCTCAAGGGCGTGGGGCGCTACGAGGCAATGCGGTCCCTTTGGATGTCCTCCTGCGAGGTCACCCTTAGGGGCTGCCAGGCGCTCGCTGCCATGGCACCGCGGCTCAACGTGGAGATCATGCATGAGGAGGAGGAAGATGCCGGTGGCATCAGCTGTGGCGGCGGCCTCGACGATGCCCAGCGGGTGGAGAAAATGTACCTCTACCGGACCCTAGCGGGGCCGAGGAGTGACGCCCCCAGCAATCTCTTCACTCTGTAAGGCCAAGCCCCCTCCGTTAAGTCGATGTTTAGTGAGTGGAGCGAGCTGCCGGCGCGCCTCCTCCCTCTAGGCTCTCTCTCTCTCTCTCATCTCTCACAAATTTGATGTTCTTGGAAGTGAGACTATGAATGCATCCACTGGGCGTTCTCTCTTCTAGCCGGTCAACCAGATGGGTTCGTTTTGCTCCGGGTAATGCAGGCTTGGTGGTTCTGAGATCCTTCCCCAGGTGATGATCTTGGGAGAGAGAGAGAGAGAGAGAGGTGAACGATTTACAAAGTGTTTATTGCACCAGGGTTTAAACCTTCCTTTGGCTTGCATTCTCATCAATGCCTTGGTCTTTCTTCCTACAATGTGCTCTTCGAAGAAGAAGGCATATTTAGTAATACAGACAACGAATCTCAATGCATGGAAGAATTCGGATCTCTTTTCAAGGCCAGCTGCAGAGAAGAACGCCCGGATGCCTAGAAGCAGCACTCCTCCAGCACACAGCAGCAGCAAAGGGCCGCCAAGCTAACAGGAAAACGGAACAATCCAGTTAGAGAGAGAGAGAGAGAGAGATCACAATTCCACACAAAACTTAAATCTGTTAGACATGAAAGTAGGAATGATGCAGGTTCCCGATCATTGATGTCAGCGTTGACTTTTTCGGTCGCATGCCAAAAGCGTTTATAGTCAGTCAATGAGGCGGATTCCATCTCTATTATGGCCTACGCGAAGAAAAAACGAGGCCAAATCACAGGCTAAGAGAGAAACAAAAAAAATTAAATTAAAGCCTGTGGTTCATCCCCACTCGTTGACTCTGTCTTGGGTCCGAGGTCACCGGGCCAAAACCTTCATACATCAGATTACCAAAAATGGTCAACGGCCCTCAGCTGCAGCTGTCAGAAGGGCCCTCTGAACAATTCCCAGCATGCTATAAATTCCAGAACGGGTCCTTAAGAAAGATGATTTCTAGAAATGCGACCAATTTCCGTCGATCATTTCCACAATGCGGATAAATTACTGCAACATTCGATACCTAGACCCACGAGGAAGCTGAGTTATTGAAGTCAACGAGCCCTCGTCTCCTGATTTCTTCAGACACATAACGGCATGTGAGATCAATTTGACTCTTTCCCAGAGGCACTCATACATTCTAGGAACAGCATCTTGTTACCTGCCCTGTTTTTCATCCCCATTTCGGCACTTATTGGGGAACTCCATGGTCAACGCTCCATGAGATTGCACGGGAAAGTTCATACAACCTCCGGAAAAACTTAAAAAACACGTTGAAAACAAGGTCCGATGACTTCGGATGGAACTGAGTAAACTGCAACCCAGAACAACGCATTGACCATGAAAAACCTTGAATCCTTTGACTTCGTGGCATGGGTAATTAATACCAAGCAGATCATCAGCACTCGGTAACCTAACAGTTTGGTCCAGATCATATGAATCCGGGAGAAGAAAGACTAATAGACAAGATTGCATATGTTCAAATGATCCCATCAGCTGCATGAGACGCTCAAGGGGCATCCAGCCGACTACTACTAATGGAATTATAAGAACTGATCTTCAAGGAAGAAACTACCATATCTGAACAGGCGGAGAAGTCAACGAATAAGTTGGAGACTTAAACAAAGATTCTAAAGGCAAGACTATTTCATCCAAAAAATAGTTTATAATAAGAAAATAGAACAGTGAAAGGAGAAATTGATCCGTACCATCCTTGTAGAAATGTGAAGCAGGAGGGTTCATCCTGACCATGGTGGTGGTGATGATGGTGGTGATATGGCGGCGGCGGCGGCGGCGGAGGGGGCCCATCGTTGAAGTAACCCTGGTAGCCAGGAGGGGGAGGATAAGGCGGCGGATAGCCCGGCGGCGGCGGCGGAGGGTATGGGTGCCCGTGCCCCGGCGGCGGCGGTGGAGGATAGGGGTGCCCGTGCCCCGGCGGCGGAGGAGGAAAATGATGCGAATACCCTGCACATAGCCCATCCAACGACAGATTCACAAATCAAAACGCACAGATCATACGTCACGCCGACGCAATCGCAAACCAGACGGCATAAACAGGATGACTTCCATTTCCCAGGCGAATTCCATGGCAAATCGCCACCAAAATCGGAAAAAACCAGCATGATAGATAGACAGATAGATACTGGAGCACAGACGGATTAGGTCTAGCGATCTTGCCTGGCGGAGGGTGGTCTCCGTGGGGAACGTGCTGATAGCTCATCGCTCGATCCCTTCTGCTCGAGGTGGCTCGCAATTCGGAGGCAAAGAGGGAGGAAGGGGAAGAAGGGGGCCGCCCGCTGCCGTCACCGTCTTCGATTTCTTCGGCTTCTCCACCTTCCCTTCTATTTAGCAGCCAAACCGAAATTACGATTAATTAATATCTTTTATTTAAATAACTCGTATTTATAATTATCACAATTTAATCGTAGGGCCGAAGGGAACAGGCTTTGGGCCGGGCCCACAGGCCCTTAAGGAAGAGAGTGTGGGGGATAGAAAAAACACGTGATCAGAATGAGACCAACGGGCCCGGCTCCGGGCTTCTCAGGCCCGTTCTCACCCACTGAATTGTTTTATTTTAATCACTAATAAATATCTTTTTTTAGAAAATGTTTGACTCCGACTATTCCTTCGTCGGGGGGGGCAAATGGTGCCAAGTCATTTTCCGGTGAGTTGACCGCGGGTGATGCCATTTACGAAGAAGCTTCCAAGCTCCTTCCTTCTGATCGATCACGTGCCGTCCCCATCATTCACGTGCGCAGATAGACATGGCTAGCGTTGACCCCACTCGTTGTGTCCATTTCCCCTCAATCTCTAGAACCGAGGAGGGATATTTGGGCCGGGCCATATATTTAATGGGCCATATTGAGGCCCAGTTATGAGTTCCCATTTGGGCTCGGTCAACGACGTTTAATATTGGTATCTTCTAGAATCGTTTAATATTTGGGTTCGGTCAACGCCGTTTAATATTGGTACCTTCTTGGAAAGTTGACGACAGCGGGTTGATTAAATGGCTACGCGGAGGGCGTGGAAGATCCGCCATCGATCGCCGTGGGAGAGGAGCGAGGAGGAAGGAAGGAGGAGGAGATGTCGAAGGGAGTGGGAGGAGAGCCGGCGTTGGGGGTTCCCGCTGGGTACCACCAGACTGTAGGGCCTCCGCCGCCGATGTACCAGCAGGCGCCGCCGGTGCAGCAGTTCTACTACGTCGGTCAGCACCCGCACCAGGCGGGGATGATCCCCCCGAACGCCGTCTATGGCGATCCCAAGGGAATCCCCTTGCAGCAGACGATGTTCAAGGACACCCCCGCCCCTTTCAACTGCGTCTTCTGCGGCTCCTCTGGTCTCACCGTTGTCAGGTCATGCCGATAGAAAACCTAATTTAGATTCGATTTTCTCTTGTTTAGATTTCGGAATCATCTATTGGAGCCTGTGCGTCATCTTTCTGAGTTGATTATTCATCTCCGAATCCCTGATGTGATGGAGAGGGAAGAGTTTTTCAATTGCAAGGGGGAACGGACCAATAGAGATTTGAGATGTGGGATTGGAGACCTAGCTGGACATGGTGAGTTCAAGGATCAGGGGAACAATGAGAGAATAACAGGGATGATGGGGAGAGATATCAGGGAGAGGCTTTGTGCGTCTCTAGAAGGACGGCCTATGGGGATTTAATCCTTGGTAGAGGGGTCTGGAACTTGAAAAGAAGGGGAAAAAAGGAAAAAACCTGAAGGAAACTGTCGAGAATTGGGTTTCAAGGGTAACGCAGATTAGGGCAGAGGATGGCCCAATTCTTTGTTTCCTGTTCCGAACTCTGATTAGGTCAATATCGATCCAGAACAAGTCCGTTTTCGAATGAGAATGGATCGAACAGTAGCCCCTGAATTCGGCCGAAATCAGATGGAGATCAGTCAAACAGCATCTGGGCCTGCTTCTATTCATTGAAGATTTTGATTGAACAGACCAGTTCAATTTTTCTCTTCTGCTGTGATCCTTTTTAACCCAAAGATTGTTCTGAGGTCAACTGTGGAGGAGGTGAATGCCCAATGCACCTAGATAGTAGTCAGCATCATTACATCAGAACTCTACCAAACCCAGCATTGTGAAGAAAACCTGAAAGATGGGCCGAACTTCAATCGAGTCTGGCCTGGACAGGTCATCCGGTCCTTTGCATCCACCTACTTCTCTGTCTGTCTGTATATCAGAGAGAGAGAGAGAGAGAGAGAGGGAAGAAGCAAATAGTACTTAAAGTCAGCGTCTTGGAAGAAGCCAGATGGGATCCATGCTGTCTGGCCCATTGATGTCGTCCTCTTCTATAGTTTTCTGTAATGTGTTCCACTGGTTCAGATCGAAGTCAACGTCTGTTAATAGATCAACGCCATAACGTAGTGATAATTACTTCCGTTTTTACTGCTATTAATAACCCTCTCTCTCTCTCTCTCTCTCTGTGGTGCTGCGCAGGTCCAAACCAAGTCTGGCGGCTGTTATTGGCTGCATGGCGCCCTTCATGCTCGGATTCTGCTTCCTCTGCCCATCCATGGACTGCCTCTGGCACAAGTACCACTACTGCCCCAGTTGCGGAGAGAAGGTAACCCTTCCCAACAGCCCTAGCTTTCTCTCTCTCTCGTTCTCACTCTCTCCCTCCCTCCCTCCCCTTGGCTGCAGTGAGAGGTCCCACAATTTCTCTCCCTCTAAAACGGTTCCTTCTCAATTCACCTGATAAAACCCCCAAATGCCTGCAGGTCGCCGACTTTGAGAAATCCGACCCTTTCATCGTGGCCGACCTCCCCCGTTGGACCGAGCAGAGCTACGCGATCCCCGCGTGATCGGTACCATTAATACTCCACTTGGATGCTCTTATTTCATCCGTTTCTGGGGTTTTGGTGTATCAGAAAGCTGTGAACTTGAAGACCAAGTCCATGGTTGGGCTTCTCTCTCTCTCTCTGCGTGTAAAGTTTTGTAAGATCTTTGGAACTAAGCACAAGGATTCGTCTTTCTTAGCTGTTTATGGGAATGCGATATGTAAAAAATTAGAAAAAAGTTATAGCAGTGGCTCTTGTTTGTATGAAAATTGCGTTTTTCCCTGCCGACAAGGTTGCTAATACGCCACAAAAAGTTAGAGGCTCTGGTTCTAGGGTATAGGGTTCTGGGCTGAGGCTCCAAAGGTCAACTTCATTCAGAAACAAAGCTCAGTCCAAGAGGGCATTTGGTTAGTCTGGAGAGCAGGAGAAGCTAAAGAAGAACACCACGAAACTAGGAAGTCTTAATGACGGCGGGGGAACACTCAAAATAAAAATGGAGAATCAGGAAGACACCCAAAATAGAAGTTGCGGGCCTTCAGAAACCCTAAACGACGCCTACCCGCCATCGACGGAAACCCTAAATAATTACAGAGCTACGGGAAGCGGACGTGGCTGTCATAGTTGGGGATCTGCGCCAGCAACGTGCATGGTGGCGGTGGAGAGGAAGCAGCTGATGAAGCCGACGAAGCACAGAACCAGGGAGAGGCCCGTTCGGTGGCAGAAGTTCGGGAAGTAGCCGCAAACCGATACCCAGCCGGCTTTGGGCTCGCCGTACTTGCCGACGTGAGCGATCGCCGCCGCCGACGCCGCCACCGCCATCGCCAGAGCCATCGCCGTCTGCGCCCAAGAGGGGATGACGATATAGTAGGAAGTATTTATAAAGTCAACATACAATCATGGGTTGCGGGTGATTTATGGATCGCCGCCACCGCATGAATGGAGGTCCCTGCTATGGGTCCTCTCCTAGGGTTTTCTGGTCGATGGGATGTGATAAACAGGTCACCATTCGTCCTTCTCCTTCCTCTATTAGGGTTTTATCACCGACGATGGATCTGAGAGACAGTTGATCCTTCTCTTTCTCATCTTCTAGGGTTTCTTTATCGAAGGTTGACAAACACGATGGTCGGCCCCCCTTCTCTTCCTCTTTTAGGGTTTTCTCGCAGACGCTGGATGGCCCTCGCATTCCTCTCCTAAGGTTCTCTTTCATACGCTTGATGGAGCAGTAGGTCGTCCTTTTCCTTCCTCTATTAGGGTTTTTACTCTTCTAATCCTCATTTGGACTGGTTAGAAGAGATAATTCCGAGAAACAACAACGGGGCTTTGTTCTCTCCATATATCTAATAATCCGCGAAAAAAAAGAGAGGATATCTAACGCACAAATCCAACCATACCAAAGAGATGAAAGGATTAGGGTTTATCAGCGTACCAGATCAAGAACATGGAGGAGGCCCGCTCTCGCGTTCCGCGACAAGAAGAAGACCAGAGATACCAGGGAGTAAATACTCACTACCGCGTTCCCCACGATGAAAAACCTGTCGGAGACGAACATGAAGATGAAGATGAAGAAGGAAACCGTAAGAGAGGAGAGAGCATCTATGAATCTCACTTGAATACGGAAATGGTCGTCCAGTCGGCTTCCATCTTGACGGAGCCGAAGTTGCTGGTTTCCCTGTTGAGGGCCATGGTGACGGCTGCCAGCGCCGTGAGACTGGAGGTGATGATCCTGCAGAAGACCTGGTGCAATGGGAACGTCATCCTCTTCCCCATCGCCACCTCTCTCTCTCTCTCTCTCTCTCTCTGTGAGAAGAGCGGGACGGAGAAGGTAAGCTGCAAATGAATGATCCTCTCAACGTAACCCAGAGATTTAGGCTCGGTTAAAACGGTACACGCGTAAAAAAATGGCTGTTTTTCCGTGATTTCCAGCGATATTTTATTAGTGCTTGTGGCGAGTTGGGTTAGCTAAAATTATTGTAAAGTTGACTTTTTTGATGTCCTTAATCGATGGTAGTTACCCTCCGTCTCTCTCTCTCTCTCTAAATCCCTTCTTGAATCTACCACAGTAACTAACAACAATATGCCCTAAACATGATATGTATCATAATCAATGCCTTTATGTTTATCACTTTACCTTGATATTTTTACAGATAAATGTAAGTCTACGAAAAGTATTACTTTTATAATGCATATATTTGGGGTTTCTCATATGAGAAATAAATTTTTTAATTATTTTTAAATTTACTATTTTTACTCCAACTAAACATTAATCAGGTACCAGAGGAAAACAATTGGAGTGAATTCAAATGGGAATAAGTGGAAACTATACTAACTCTATAAATATCACCTTAAATTATTGTAAACTTCAATTTTCATGACTCTCTCTCTCTCTCTCTCTCTCTCTCTCTCTCTATCTATCTATCTATCTATCTCTCGTGCCCATATGAACCACAGCCCGAGCTTCACCTGGTCAGTCCCTCGTGGAGACCATTTCCGGCCTTAACTCCAAGAAGAGCTCACCAAGTTCTTCCGATCCCATTTGAGTTCTAGCCTACCAACCATGCAAATCGAGAGAGAGAGAGAGAGAGAGAGAGAGAGAGAGAGAGAGAGAGAGGAAACAGGAGGTTTCCACGGAGATCCTCCGGTCTCACCACGAGGCAAGAAATCTACAACTCATCGATGAGATTCGAGCAGCAGTTATGAGGAGGGGCATCGGCTCCCTTCGTCTCTAGGCCTCGGTTCTCCCAGAGCTCATCACAGGTTGGGCGCAACAGCGGCGGCGGCGCCGTGGCTCGCCGCAGATACGGGATGCATGGCACAGCACAGGAAGCAGGAAGCAAAGCCGAGAAAGGACATGGCCAGGGAGAGCCCCGCCCTGTTGCAGAAGTCGGGAAAGTAGCCGCACACCGCAACCCACCCCGCCTCCGGTTCTCCGTACTTCCCCACCTGAGCCACCGCTGCCGCCCCCGCCAGCGCCGCCATTGCCAGGACCATCACCATCTACAATCAGGAGGAGAGGTTGAGACCTATCTCTCTCTCTCTCTCTCTCTCTCTCTCTCCGGCTCGGAACTCTACTTACCAGGTCGAGGACATGCAGGAGGCCGCCATGGTCATGACGCGCCACCAAAAACACCAGAGACAGCAGGCAGTAGACGCTCACCACTGCATCGCCGGCGACCAGAAATCTGCAGAAAACCGGGGGGAGAAATAGTAAGAGATTGCATAGTGAGAGAGGAGTTATCCGCGAAACATAGATGAGGAAGACCACTTGAAGGCGGAGGCGGCGGTGTAGTCGACGTCAATCTCCACGCCGCCGTAGACAGTGGTCTCCCGGTTGAAGGCCATGAGAAGCGCCGCCACCGCCGAGGCGGCGCAGGCGACGATCCTAGAGGAGACCTGGTAGAGCAGGCGGCGCTTCTGCCTCGTCTGTTCTTCTGGATCCCTCGTCATCGCGATTTCCATCGGAAGTGGGAGGATTTGAAAGGAGAGAGGACGAGGCAGAAGAAGGAAGAAGAGATCCGCCGCAGCACCCGCCATGTGCGGGGTGGCGTGGTGGGGGTGGAGATGCGGTTGAAGTGTACCAAGAAAGGAAATATTTTCTCCAACACGAAAGGTTCGAATTGACCGGATCTGCACTGGAACATGTCACCTCTCTCTCTCCTCTCTCCCTCCTGCCTGCTGTCTCTTTCCCCTCGTTCTTCCGTCTCTTTCTCCCGCATTTCTCTCTTCCTTCCTCACTCTCTCTCTATCCCTGCCTTGGCTCTCTCTCTGTCTCTCTCTCTCTCTCTCCCTACACTCTCTCTCACCCTTTCTCTCCCCTCTTCTCTCTCTAGAGGCCCGCGAACAAGGTACGAAAATAGGCCAATAAAAGATTCGTGATAGTAATCTTTATTGCATTAAAGTCAACGGCCCGGCTTTCTACGATTGCGGTGCCGGGTACTCCTTTTGAGCAGCGTTCAGGCTCATTAATAGCCCAATTGAGGGCCCAGGCCGGCGCATTTTCTGAAAATCAGCCAATATACAAGACCCACCACCGGTCAAGTCGAAGAGGGGGCAGGCAAGTGTTGGGAGGAGAGAACGAAGAGACAATCGACTGAGAGAGAGAGAGAGAGAGAGAGGAATGTACGAAGAGATGACTGAGGTAGTCGGATGAACAGCTATGTACAACCTGTTATCCGGAGGTTATCTTGCCCGCTGGATTACTGCCCAAGATGCCGTCAGTTGCCGATGTCGAAGAACTTGGGATCCGAGGGGAAGTGATTCTCCACCCGCAGCTGCAGAACGGCGACAACAAGTTCTTAGAATCTGTTCGTGAAGAAGGCCGGCACCTGCGGATGAGCTTCGAAGCGAGTAGAAAAGCACATCAGAAGGAAGATGATCAACCCGGAGTCTCACAATTCTTGAATCCCCTCAAGATTCCAGGATCGGAACACACTAAAAAAGGAATTGGGTATTAACCTGCTCTCAAGATCATGCGATTCATCCTCCGGAGAACGAATGAAAGAGGTTCGAAGGTGAGTTCAGATCATAGAATCAGAGAGACCATTTGACGGGTTTTTCTCGGGAGAAGGGGAGATTCTTTACCTTGCCCTCGTCGGCATCCGTGTGCCGCTGGGGGAAGACCGCCTTGAGATCACTGTAGAGGTAGAACCGCCGCTCCTGAGCCTCTAAACTGGCTTCGTGGGGAGGCGGCGCCGCCAATGGGTCGGATTTGCACCGCCGGATCACCTTCGAGCACCTCCGGGGGGCAGGGCACAGGAACCGAAGGTGGAGGGCGTACCGGAGAACGCCGGAGGACTTTCCGGCGACCCCATGGGGGGTCTTCTCCGATGGAGAAAAATTCTCACTGCCCCCATCGACCTCCTGCAATCGACTGGTCCGGTGATCACCGACGGATTGAGACTCGCCCAGATTACAAGGGCTTCCTTTTTCTCGATCATCAGATGCTCGGCATGGAGATGTCATGGAGATTTCAGGGAAGTGCCCATTCATCTCCGCCGCCAGTTTATCGGCTTCTCTCATGCCGCAGCCCTTGGTGCTGCTGCTCCTCACATGAGTTGGAGCAGATCGAGGGGAATCGAGCGTGATCCTTTGGCGCATAAACGTCTGTGGTAACATCGACGGAGAAACTGTCAAGTTTTCACCGAAAAAAAATTGACTTTTTGAAAGAAATCATGCAGTCAACGAAGCTTGCTATTTTTTTCGTAAATCTGCGGGGATTTTAGTGATCCAAGAAATGGTGGGCACCCAAAAAAGGGCAAATACCTTGGTTCCAGCAGGCATGTCACTAAGATCATAGTTGCAGAAGAAAGTATGAAGAGGAGTCCTTTCTGGATTGCTAAGAACCTGCAAGAAAACAAATAAAAATAAAGAGGGTGGGTTTCACAAGGTTCACAGAAAACAAGAAATCTCGTGACCCAGAGGAAGAATCTCTTTTCTGAATACGATTAAGTTTAGTACCAGGGAAGATAAGAAAAATAGGAGATGGCCATGAAAGGAAAAAAAATAAAAAAAGGAAATAGCTTTAAGATTCAGAAACAGAGACCAGTCACAGCATAAATTTCCACGCAGGTGAATTGAACATGACAATTTCTTGGATTTAATTATAGAATAAAATAAAATGAATTAAAAAATGGAGATGAGATTAAGTGAAACTGATTACTTTTGTACAAAAAATATAGAAATGTTTCCTGCTGAGGAGGTGGCAGGCAACCAAAAAACAAGTGCTCCAGAAAATAGGGAGATCAAATCAGCCGTTCCTCCTCGGGTAGGAATGGACCGAAATCTTCACAAGGCAATGAGTAAATAATCGATTGAGCTCCCCTAAATTTCCATCTGTTTCTCTCACGGTTCTATTCCATTTTTGGCAGGCCAGAAGCTTCTTCACGAGGCCACAACATGAACAAAGATTTGAAAAGTTTTCCTCCGAGCTCGAGATGTCAGTCGCCTCCTCATCATGCATTCTAATTTCCCGGGTGGCCTCCTCTTCACCAAGCCAGATGATCCTCCAAATGGGTTTTCTTGAAAGAACGAGCTACGCTGATTGCAAAAGTGACAGCTTATGCAAGATATAAAATTCCCTAACGACCGTCTTTTTAGCAGATCATCGTTAGATTTCACGATGAGTAAATATTTTACGCAAGACATTAAAATGGGTCGGTCATGGTAAAATAAATCTCCTTGAGCATTTACTTCAAAAAAGGGGAGGATTTGAGAAAATATAAAATATAAATATGGTATGATCATGAAATCTTGGAGAAAGGGCATCTCTGTTCTCGTCATGGAGAGAGAGATCTGAACAGTATCTGCGGATTTCTTCACACGGTTTTCCCAAGATTGTCATCGGAAAATAATAAATTTCTGTCAAGTGCTCGGCCAAACCGCTGATTTGTGTACTTCGTGTTTTGCCCACTTCAGAAGATCATCTTTTACAAGAAAGAACTCTTCAAGATTGCTCGATGATCCAAGTCCTGTGGCTTCTCATGATTTCTTTTCACATTCAAACTGAACTCCCAACACATTCATTTCCCTCTTTGTCATGAGTTCTCCAAATCCTCTCTCATTCAAAACTATCACATCAAGTAAGAAAACTATATATTACAGAATAAATCAATGAAACAGTACCCCTGGGCGAACGCTGCCAAACTAATCCCAGTAGAAATCTAATTACAGCTAATCCATCACATAAATCTGAGATAAAATGGGGGGAAAGCTTACTGGTGCAGAGGCAGATTCAATGAGCAAAGGGTTAGCTTGCTGAGACGAGTACGAAGCCATCAGCATCATAATGCTTCACAAAAATATGGGTTTCAACGACCAATATAGGCCTTGCTTCATGAAATTACAGAGTCTCAACCGACAAGTGCAACTTGTGGCATGAATATGAGTGTAAACACGTGAAAAAGGCTACCCTCACAGGCTAAGTTATCCTGGGCGCAGTAAAGATAACTAAAGACAACTTGTCGCATTAGACTAGTTTTCATATAACCAAAAAGGCAACCTACCCCTAGTCAAATCCTTCGAAGTGGCTCTGAAGAAAATAGGTCCAAAAAAAAAAAACTGAGGGTTTATGCAAAGGAGGCTCACAACAATGAGATATGATCCGGTAAGCAGAATTTATTATGAACAATCAATCCTATGGCAATTTTTTCGGACAATCTTGAACAGAAATGAACCCATATCTCTGAAAACAGAAAGGAAGGATATAAAACATCTGAGATTGAAAATGCATAGAACACCTTGACATATGTAAGAGTTAGTATCTAGAAAAGCAAAGAGCATAAAACGTTAGGCGACAGTAAAGGAGAACTCTTTGAACAGAACATGATACTGTATCGAAAATAGAAAAAAATATATAAAATTCAGAGGATATCTGATGCAGGCACAAAATAAAAAATCTCGAATGCCAAATCATGGGAGCTGGTGAAAACTCCAGCCACATCTTGTGGGCCACTCGACAAACGAAGGCGTTGAATTAGGCTAGGACGGTTCTTGTGCAGGATATGAAGACCTACTAAAGCTGCGGAAGCAGCAACAACATAGAAAGGAAGGTAAGGCAATGCTTTATAGAGAGAAATTGTCAATGAGTGCGAGGGAGGTATTATCACAGCTGAGGTCAACTTTGACCAGAAATAATCATAAAAGACAACTTTGAGCCAAATGCCCATAATTTGCATGGCTAAGTACAGAAACAGAGATGCTATGGACAGGCAGAAAAAAACCACGTCCTTGAATGAACATCGTATGAAAACCCGAAAGGAAATTGCGGGTATCTTCAATTTCTTTGCAGGTAAAATAATCGATCAAGGAGACCAACAGACACAAATTCAAGCAAGAGTCACAGGATGCGCTTGGATTGGGGATGCAAATTATAGCGTTGAAAAAGCACAAAAATAATGAAAAAAATTACCAGTTGTATGCATCCCCTGACGGGAATTCGCATTCGGGCTCTTGACGTATGAGAATCCTCAAAGCTTAAGCTTCTAGTCATCTGGGGCCCTTTGCACTTATCGGACGGAGATTTCTCTTCAAGATCAATGGATGCACAGTACAGTAAGCAGCTGTCTCCATCCACACTTGTCACAGAGAAAGGAAGTTTCTGAGATGGAGGGGAGAAATTCCCCCCAGTGACTTTTAAAACAGCTAGAAAGCCGTCAATTTTCTGCCAGAAAACGAAGATTAATAGGAAACTCATGAAGTGGTCACTCACAAAGAATGATGCAAACTGATGTGAACGCATGGAAGCCAACCTGGGAAACTTTGCCAGATGAAAGGCGACCGGACAGAAGCGACTCTTCAAAGGATCCAACTAAAGATCTTCGAACAGGAAGCCCACAGAGACCTCGGGCAAATCTAATGCAGCGAGATGGAGGGAAAGACTCAGGACACCAGTTCTGCCCTGTATAATTCTCCACTGGATCGAAATCATCCCTGATTTGGTCATTTTCTGATCTGAATTCCACTTCCGTTGCGAATAAAATGTTAGGTGCACGCCCATCGAGGGGTCTTCTATCCATGCACTTGTGAGTTAATTCATTGCACTGTGATTCTCTTGAGATGCATCTACATGGCCCTACAATCCTCTCCCGCCATTTGGGGCCAAGAGGAGACAATGACAGAGGAGAAGAGTAAGGCTGTTTCGGAGAGAGTGACAGTGCACCTGGGCAGACACCTCGATTGCATGTTTCTTCATAGAAGTGCTCCTTTGACTCGGGCAAAGGCCTGTCAGTCAAAACAGAGGGATTCGAAGCATCTTCATCTAGAATCTTCCTCAGGGTCGAACATCCATTTGATGATCTTATTGGAACTTCAGAACAAAATCTGTTTCCAAAATTTGCCTTCTTGAAATCCTGCGTTGCAAATTTGTTGACTCCCCGAGTCAAAGCTCCGGGAGCAACTCGACCATGACCTTCTGCATGGTTTGGCAACCCAAGGCCGGGCCTTTCCCGACCAAGCATGCCATTTAAAGGAGACAGGAAGCGTTTCCTCACTTGCAGCCCGTAAGAATCAACTGAGCTATCAGAAATGCCCAAAGCTCCAGATGAACAAGTGTTCTCTGATGAAACCCTCTGAGATCCATTCACCAAGGAGACCGATCTGCTCGACTCAAAGCCCACGACCCTCGACAGGGGGGTGCGGATGCCCTCCCTGATCACAAGCGGAAAGCACGCAACTTTATCCACAGAGTCATTCTTTAGAGAATGGAGCTTCGCAGGACTATCAGGTCTGAGTTTTCTCTGAAAATCACCAATGGAGGAGCAGGAGAACCCTCCATGAGCCATTCTAGCTGTGCTCTCGATTTGAAGCCCGTCTAGATCACAAGTTCCGATCCCACCAAATCGAGGCGGGTTTGAGCCAAATGAGCTCAGTGAGGCTGCAACCCCCTCATCAGCCGGATTGGACGAGACTTGAGGCAAACCCATACCCAAATTCTTCTCGGAACAACAGTTGCACGCCTAATCCGCAAATTCCCTGCCCAGGGTATTAATCTTCAAGCTTCCTCGGTAAGAACTGCTCCAAACCCACCGGAACTCCCTGAAACTGCTTATTTTGTTCCCTCCTCGGCCGATGAATCATCCAGCTACCGAATAAACAGGGAGTGCCCATTTTCTCCCTCTAATCTTCAAAGGGTATCCCAATTGCTGGTGTTAAATCAAACCCACATCATAAATAAATCTTTATTTGAGAAAAATGTGACCAGATAAGCAAAGGCTCCTTCGTAACGACCTCTGAAACCGGCACATTTTTCACTAGCGATTTCTCATGATCCGGGAGAGCCCAGAAGGGGCACAAAGGCTCGCAGCATCTGGAATCCACACCAACAAATAGTAAGGCCACAGTCGTTCACGAGACCCACACCGAGGCAGGTTAATCTAAGACTAAAAGAGAAATATTTCTCATTTAGATAGAGATCAATGTCAATAATATCTAAAAAATTAGACGAAACGGCCTAGAGAAGCCATCTAATATGGCTTTCCAAGAGCAATGATCGGGAGAACCCTCTGGAAATCCAGAGAACTCATCAACACCACCCAGAGCAGAAATCCAGGCGTCGAAACCCAAGAAGAAGAGGTCAAGCAAATCGAGAGAGAGAGAGAGAGAGAGAGAGAGAGAGGAGAGAAGACGAGGGGGGGAGATTCTACCTCGGGAAGCTTTTCATGTAGAACAACCAAGAACATACACAGAAGAAGCGTCCGCATTTTCCGTAAAGAGTTCGAATCCGACTAGAACACGTTAAATTTGTACGAAAAGAAACAGCGGCCGCCGTCGTATAGAGAGATTGAGGGGGGAGAAACAGAATCGGCCGGAAAGAGCACGAGGAACCCGATTTCCTCCACGATTGCCGAGAACACCCGGCACCCGGAGGTCGATTCTACGGTTACTCACCGGAAAATCCACAGGAATAAAGGCGAAGAAGAAGGGAAAAACACCCCGTTTGGAATCACCAAAGAAGAGGAGGCTCTACAGAAGAAAATAAGCAGTAAATCTCTCCGTCCGCGCCGGCTGAGAAGAAAAAGAACCATCACAATGACTACGCAGCCGGCCGGAGCACCCACCTGCGCAAAGCCTGCTACCGGCCCCTCCTTGATTTTTTTTTAAAAATAAATTTAAATTAGAAATTAGGATCAATCGCCGCCGATATCACCAGTAGCCCCTGCCTCCACCTTCCTCTCCATCCATCTCCCTGCATCACCCTCTTCTTCATCCTTTCGCAAGCCTCCCACCCCACATAAATCCTTGCCTTCGCCACAGCCTCTAACTTCCCCTCTTCTCTCTCTCTCTCTCTCTTTCTCTCTCATCACGCATGTGTCTGAGAAGTCACACTCATCTACTTCCCCCGCAGCCATTTATCTCCCTCCCCTCTCCTTATCAGATTCCAGAACAGCGAGCAGTACAGCATCCACCATCACCACCTCTAGAGAGAGAGAGAGAGAGAGAGAGAGAGAGAGAGACGTGTCGCATTCAGGGATGTCGACACGGTTTCTCTCTCAGACGTACATCGAAGGCGACTCGTGTGTCCAGGTTCCACAACTCGGCCGAGTCGGCCCAATGGCAACTAGTGACCGGTTTTCGCCGAGTTAGTGGATGACGGCATCACTCCCGAGGATTTGCGATGAGATTTCGCAGCCACGTGTTCGCCTTTCGGACACGCGTACCTCTCTTACATCTCCAGTGTGTAGAAACCCCCCTACTTTCAATCCGAACAAGGACCCAAGTGAAAAAAAACAGATTGGCTCCAGATCTCGATTCGCCTGATCTCATCGAGACAAATCAGACGGCCATGGAAGAACCGTATTCTTCTGGGTTGCGTACGTGGCAGACAACTTCCCTCTCCTTCAATGTCATGACTTCACCTAATGAGGTGGTGGGCTCTCTCTCTCTCTCTCTCTCTCCGTCTCCTAATATTGGGTTTAAATAACATTAGACGAAAAGTCATGATTACGTTAGAATTTTACCGCTCTTACCACACGAAGTAAAAATTGCTCATTTATTAGCAGCAGAAAATTCATTTTTTATAATTTTTTATTTTCAACCCAAAGTCGCCGGGTCCGACTGAGATCTGGACTGCTCATTGTGATAGAGGGGGAGAGAGGATTGGCACGTGTGATCCGGCAAAGCATGTGAAAAAGTGCGGGGCCTTGACCGAATCCGATAATCAGTCGGGGACCGTTGGGTGCCACGTGGGAGCGTTTGAAATTCCCGCGCGGATGGACGGCGTCGGTTTGTATATGTTCAAGAGAAAGTACGTCATGATTATCCATGCGCCACGTACCCTGCGGGATAGGTAGCATAAAAAATAGGGTACGTGGCGACTTCTAAGAGAGTTGTATAAGAGGACTGACGGCGATAATATACTTCTCAATTTTTCAAAAACAAATAAATAATGATAATTATTGATTATTTTATTTGATGTCACTCTTTGCGTATATATCTAAATTTATCATTATCTTTCTAAATATTCGAAACCTATTCGTGGCCAAACTTTCTCTCTCCACGAGTTCACGTCTGCTTCGGCGATTTTGGAGGGGGACGGAGCTCCCCCTCTATTCCCCCTCCCGACGACCGACCCTGCGTGACACAGTAGGGAGGCCCTTACTCCTCCATTCCTTCCTCCTCCCCCTCCTCTCTCTCTCCATTACGAGCAGATGGAGCTTGCGAGAAATGCCCTAAGTAAAGAGAGTTCCCGGTAATAGTGATTATCATGAAAGGGATTCAAGATTCAGCGACCAAAGGAAGAAAGGGAGACATCAAAACCCCTTCAAAGGAGCGCCCGAAGGTGGAGAGGAGCAAGCAGAAAAGCAAGAGCACTCAAGGAAGCTCTGACTTGCCACGGGTATGTACTAGATCATCTCCGAAGGAAGCTCTAGTACTACCGGAGCTGGAAAGGGGTAACTCACAAATCGCAGCAGAAGTCAATGAGAACAGTCCGAGGTAAACGGCAAATGATCATCTTCAAAGCAAGCCGAGCCTTTTGGAAATAGAGTTCACCAGTATGGAGTGAGAGGCGACGGATTGCCTTGCTCCATTCCCTAAGATATAGACTCAGAAAGTAGAAACAAGAACATACCAAGAATTCAACTACGATTGGAGGCGGAAGGAAACGCAAGATGAGACGCTGGGCATGCCTTCACAACTGAAGCCACAATCACCATGAGGGAAGGCCAGAGGTAAGTGTCCCTGAGTCTATACCTTTACTTTCATAAGCTAGCATTCCTCCATTAGCTCCATGCACTGAAATAGAAATCCGACTGAAACAAAATGAAGGAAACAGAAACACATGACATAGAAACCTATGGAACTCACTCTTCGGAACAGGAGGCCCATCCAGTGGTACCAAACGGCCCTTAGAAGGGCTGAGTTATGCGACTGCCACGAGGGATACCCATTATCAGACCTAAACTCACGTCCAATGTCCTGTTGAGAAAATTTGTTATGAAGGGTGGCGTGAGAAACATTCAATTCTCAAACAAGGAAATAGAAGCATTGTCACCCATCAGGCTTAGCCTACTAGACATAAGGGATGAATTAAGAAAGATTATAAATTTTGATGGAGAGATCTGAATAAGAGCCATAGATGGCAGGCATGTGATAATTAGATTCAAACTAGATTCTGACTTTCAAGTGGCTTAGAGTAGGGCAACATAGGCTATCAAAGGTATATTTATGAGATCTATTAGGTCCTCCCCTTACTTCATCCCAAAAGAGGAACCATCCATAGTTCCGATATGGATAGACCTCTCAGGATTGGATTGAGAGCACATTTTTTGAATCCCCCAGCATTGAAGAGCATGCAGGCATGTTAGGGAAATTCATATGCACTGATAAGGACATCAAGATGTTCATAAGGCTGGGATATGATTGTTCCTATGTGAAAATCAACTTATCCAAAGACATTCCTAAATTGATTATAATTCAGAATGGGGATAGAGAGATTATAAAACAGTCGATAGTGGTGGAATTCAGCTCTCCCTTTTGCAACATATGATGTAGGGTTGGTCACTTGAATCATGAATGTAAGAATACCATGAGAAGAGAGGCACTAGATAGACACACCTTCCCCCTTGACACATGAGAAAGAAAATCGAGGGGCTAATCAGAATGTAGGGGCAAGTACAATGTGATAGGAGGAAGGATGGAGGAAGAGAAGAGAGGAGGAAGGTGAGGAGATGGGAGATATATCAGCCCTTGTCAATCATAGAGAACCCACTAAACAATGGGTAATGAAAACATTCCATTAGAAATGTCAACTGAGGAAAAATGTACAAAAGAAAAATACCAAAAGAAATGAACATAGATAGAAGTTGAAGTCATAAAAACAATGATTTTTCCTAGCCGAACAGGTATGGATCTAGACGCTGACTCTCTCTCATTCGGAGCTGCTCAATCTCGTCGAAATCACTCAGGAGAATCAAGTGGACTAATACCTTCGAAAAATCATGGAGGAATTGCCTACCGAGTCGGCAAAATGGAGACATTACTTGCTACAACAAGGACATCTCTTCTATTGGGGATGAATCGTGATATCGACGGCATCATGTCTCCTACCAGCTCTCTTAAGGGAATTTCATGACACATCAACGGGATGCCACTTCAGGTTTCAACGGACTTACCTAAAGCTCAAGCAAAGCGTCCACTAACAAGGAATGAAAGCAGCAGTCAAGAAATATGTGGCCACCTACTTAATCTGCCAAAGAATCAAAACAGAAGTGTTGTCTTCGGCCAGACTCCTTCAATCGCTGCCCATTCCAAACTGAATCTGGGAAGACTGAATCTGCCATAGTAGTTGTTGTCGATCACCTCAGTAAGTACGCAGATGTTTCGGCCCTCCGACATCCTTTCACAGCACAGATAGTGGTAGAAGTCGTCATCCGAGATATCGTTCGACTGCATGGTTTTTCAGGGTCCATCCTTACTGATTGAGATAGGATCTTCATGAGCAGCCTCTAGCATGCACTCTTCCGTCAACAAGGGACCACACTCAAGCGGACCAGCGCGTATCATCTGCAGATCAATGGCTAGTCGGAGGTGGTCAACTGTAGGTTCGAAACATTCCTCTGCTGCTTGACAAGCGAACGCCTGAAATAGTAGTACCGATGGCTTCCGTGGGCAGAATTGTGATACAACACGAACTTCAATCGCTCCACGGGGATGACTCCATTTCAGATAGTCTATGGACGAATCCCACCCACCCTTATCTATTTCACCGGCAAACCAACCGTGCCGGACGGTCTGGAACAACAGTTGCAAGAATGGGAAGAGGTTCTCACACAGCTCAGAGAGAATTTGGAATGCACCCAAGCAAGGATGAAACAATTTGCCAACTGCAAGCAAAGAAAACTTGAGTTCCAAGTAGGTGAATGGGTCTACCTTCATCTACAACCATGTCATTAGACCTCGGTCATGCGACGAACTTGCGTGAAGCTCGCCCCTTGTTTCTATGGGCCATTCAAACTACTCCACCTTATTGGGCCAGTGGCATACCAACTGGACCTTCTCACCTCAGCATAAATCCACCTAGTATTTCACACACCACAATTGAAGGTGGAGCAATGGGAGGAGGCCCCAAAGATGCCGACATTACCAGTGGATAGCGAACTACACTAGATGGTAGTTCCGGGTTAGGTCGTGGATGTCTACTACTGCCCACACGGTCCCAAAGTCCTGTTGCAATGGGATGGGTTGCCAATTGAATCCACCACCTGGGAGAATGCCTACGACATCCAGTGGTAATTTCCCGATTTCCACCTTGAGGACAAGGTGTTCATTGGGGGTATTGTTGAGACCCTAACATCCCAAATGGGCCAAAAAAGAAAGGGGCCTTGAAGACGTTGGCCCAACCTAGGATCAAAGTAGGACAGACAAAATTTAGACGTCGAAGGCGACAATTGTATGTGGGATCCTGCAGAACATGAAATGTGTGCAGCGGATGAAGTTCGGCAGGGAGTCGTGGTAGACTTGACAAAGACAAAGCACGGTACCCAGGTCATGTCGGACTTGAGCGGAGGAGACAGAAGGCGGTGGTTGACGCCAGAGGGGTTTGGTTATAAAGAGAAGTCGAGTGGCGGCAAGAAAGACAGGTCGGGAGAACTTTACGAAGACTCCTTACAACGTGAAGAATAGCCTTCTCAAAACAACAATCTCAAGACCTGCCTCGATCTCTGTTGTTCTCGGCTTCTCAGCGGGAGTTCCCTGATGCCTAGGACATCCAAAGCTTTTGTATGAGACTAGTTTATCTATTAAACTCACCAGTATTTTGACACATCATCAAAGGGGTTTCATCAATTAGTATCAGAGCCAGCCACGTTCTATGGGGCCCAAACCTTCTGATCTCAAGCTCAACTCTCTCGAGAAAGAGTTGGAGGAGTTCCAGCTCCTCACCAGCAATGAACTGATGGCCCACGCTGAACAGCTCCAAGCCATACGTGCGAAACAGGTGGACATGTGCTAGAGACTGGATTCAATCTTTCAACAATTGAGATTGATTGCCCACATCATGGGCAACATTCAGCATCAAGTAGGCATCTCTCCCCATGGAGTTGGCAAGAACAAACTCTTTCCAAAGACATCGAAGGCGTGGGCCCTCGGCGATACCAATGTTAGATAACCTACAACACCGCCTGGTAACCCCAGCTATCGGGAAGATCCACTGGCCAGCTCATGTCCCCACGATGATCCGCTTGATCGCCGCCACTTCTAGGGACCCCCAGAATTCAACCCGCGACAGTGTCTAGAGTTTCCTGTTTTCACTAGGTCTGACCCAAAAAATTGGATATATTAGATGGAGATATATTTCGCCACCTATCGGCTGACAACACCAGAGCAACTGGCGGAGGCATGCATCAGCATGGAAGGGAAAACCTTCCACTGGCTCCAATGGGTGAGCCCCGACGGCCACTCTACAGTTGGGAAGATCTAAAATACAAGCTGCTAGAATGATACAGCGATAAACATTTCAGTTCCCTCAGTCTTCAGTTCCTTGAACTCAAACAAACGAGTTCAGCGGAAGATTACCAAGAACAATTCGAACAACTGTCCTGAGCACTCGTGACGTACCGGAGAGCATACTTGAAGGTAACTTCCTCAAGGACCTCCGATGGGAGATATAGACGGAGGTGATTGCCCTCAATCCACCCGATCTTGAGGCAATGATGCAAACGGTCAAGAGAGTGGAAACCAAGTTATTGACACTAACAAACGGAGGCCAATTGAGGAAGTTACCTTCAGGTGTACGATGGGTGCCAGATACGGCCACCATCGCAGGGCGCGAACAACTAGGAAGGATTCTAGGGTCCGGTCCCACGATATCAGGCCTGCGCACCTCCGCCACGGGAGCGCTGCAAATCAATTGCCGACGATGTTTACACCTCACAGTTGTGGAAATTCAAGCTTGACGAACTCAAGGTCTGCGTTTCCACTGTGATGAGAAGTTCATACCTGGCCATTGGTGCAGACAAAAGCTGAATATTCTTTTCGCTCATGCTGATTTTGACTTCTCCTCAAATGATAATTTTGCGAAGGATCTTCTCTATGAACCATCAGACGAAGGCGAGATAATCTAGCTCGAAGCATCCCTTCACTCACTATTCGGTCACTTCCAAGGGCAAGCTATACATATCAAGGGAACAATCCAAGGGCATCAAGCATTTGCTCTGCTCGATACAGGAGTGGCATTTAACTTCATCAGTAGTCGCCTGGTCCAAGAGAATTAGTTTCCAACAGTCAGGATGACACCGTATCAGGTGGCCACCGACGCGGGGGAAACGATCCTCAACTCAAGGATGTCTCGTGGCCACGTCGTTGACCTTCTGAATACCATTATCTCGGATGATTTCCTCATGTTCCCTCTCACCTCAATCGACATCATCCTGAGAATGCATTGGATCAAAGACAGACACAAGCTAGAGCTAGATTTGGACAACTAGACCCTATCCTTCTCCGACGGTAAGGACAAGGTCACAATCACGGCAGAACCTCCTGAACAAAAAAAATAACACCATCTTAGTTCCGTGAGCAGCAAACCCGTCAAGGGAGAAGCATACTTTGAACTATCCCAGCTGGAAACCAGCAATGACAAGGTATCAAATGACCTTTTGACACGGGAGCTTCATGAGTGTTTTCCACAGGTCTTCGCAGACATCACCGGCCTTCCATTGGCCTGTGAGCAGGAGCATCACATCATCTTAGAGCCAGGCAGGGGGACAATCTGCACTCGTTTGTTTTGCTATCCTCATTTTTAGAAAACCGAGTTGGAGAAACATGTAGCAAACATGCGTGCAATGGGGCTCATCCAGCATTCTTAGAGCCCTTTCTCTAGCCTAGCCCTTCTCATTCAAAAGAAAGATGGCTCGTGGCGCTTCTACGTGGACTATTGCGCACTAAATAAGGTAACCGTTCTTGACCGATCTCTCATTCTGGTCGTGGACGAGTTCATTGATGAGTTGCATGGAGCTACTGTATTCTCGAAGCTCAATCTGCAATCCGGCTACCACCAGATTCGCGTCCGAACAGAGGACGTACCAAAGACGGGCCTTCCAAACCCATCATGGACATTACGAATTCTTGGTCATGCCATTTGGATTATCCAATGCCCCAACCACCTTCCAAGCCACCATGAATTGCATATTTGCTCCATTCCTGCGATGATTTGTGTTGGTATTCTTCGACGACATCCTCATCTACAGTCAAACTAGCAATGAACACGAAGACCATCTCCTCCAGGTATTTCTCATTCTCCACCAGCACCAATTTCACATTCACTTGAAGAAGTGTATGTTCAATCATACCTGAATTGCGTATATGGGCCATAGGATATCAGCAGAAAGAGTCGTTGTAGATCCCAAAAAGATCACCGCCATTCGTCAATGGCCATCTCCCACGAACCTCCGAGACCTCTGAGATTTCTTGGGCTTGGCGGGATATTATCGTTGCTTCGTTCAAGGGTTCGGCCAGATTGCCTAGCCATTAACACAACAACTAAAGAAAGAAACATTCGATTGAAACCTGGCAGCTGAAGAAGCATTCCAACATCTCAAACAGGCTCTACCGACAGTCCCAATACTGACTTTGCCAGATTTTTCCGCCACATTTGAGCTTGAGGCAGACGCCTCCGATTGTAGAGTAGGAGTTGTCCTCATGTAGCATTGAAGACCTGTGGCCTTCTTCAACTAGGTTCTTGCGCCCGCCCATCTATAGAAACCGACGTACAAGCGCCAACTAATGGCGATAGTTCTCACCATCCTTAAATGGCAACATTATCTTCTTGGCCACAAATTCTGAATCTTTACAAATCAGCATAGTCTAAAATTTGTTCTAGAGCAATGACAGATTATCAGAAATGATTGGCGAAGATTATATCATTTGATTTCAAAATATGCTTTAAATTAGGCCACGAAAACTAGATGTTGACTCTCTCCTGTCCAGAGCTACTCGTTGAAATCACTCGGGAGAGTCAAGCAGACCAATACCTTCAAAAAATAATGAAGGAATTGCCTATTGAGCCGGCAAAATGGAGACATTACTCGCTACAACAAGCTATTGGGTCCGACGGGACCTAGGTATCCTTCTTGATTGTTTGCGTCCTACGGTGGTGGTCATATTTGGCACCTGTCGTACACTGGAGGTCCTCTCTCCACCCCTCTACCTTGCCGCAATCGGCCTCCATTTGTTAGTGTCAATAGTTTGGTTTCCACTCTCTTGGTCGTTTGCATCATCGCCTCAAGACCGGGTGGATTGAGGGCAATCACCTATGCATGTATCTCCCGCCGGAGGCCCTTGAGGAAGTTACCTTCAAGTATGCTCTCCGATACGTCGTGAGTGCTCGAGACAGTTATTTGAATTGTTCTCGATAATCTTTCACTAAACCCGTTTGTTCGAGTTTGAGGAACTGATGGCTGAGGGAATTGAAATGTTTATCGCCGTATCATTCCAACATCTTGTATTTTAGATCTTCTCAACTGTAAAGTGGCTATTGGGGCTCACCCATTGGAGCCAATGGAGGGCTTTCCCTTCCATGCTGATGCATGCCTCTGCTAGTTGCTCCAATGATGTTAGCCGATAGATGGTGAAATATATCTCCACTTGATATATCTAATTTTTCTGGTCGAGCCTAGTGAAAACGGGAAACTCCAGATGGCATCACGGGTTGGATTCCGAGGGTCCCCGGAAGTGGCAGCGGTCAAGTGGATCGTCATGGGGACATGAGCTGACTAGTAGATCTTCTCGGTAGCTGGGGTTACCAGGCGGTGCCGTAGGTTGTCCGACATTGGTATCGCTGAGGGCCCACGCCTTCGATGTCTCTAGAAAGAGTTTGTTCTTGTCAACTCTACGGGAGAAATGCCTACCTGACACTGGATGTTGTCCAAGATGTGGGCAATTGATCCCAGTTGTTGAGA